AAAACTCAAGTAGGATAACTCTGTTCGCAAAAGGTGCACTTTTGCGAAGAGGGCGCCACCGAATTTTGAGGACACTTTTTTAATTGGCTCAAAGAGAGAAGTGACCCCTCTTGTTATGTAGACTCTTTGCTTAAACTAAATCAAATTAATTGATGAACAAGAAATACGTCAGAGTGCTTTTCTTTTGTCGTTTGCACGAAATAGTCTCGTATATTCGGCGTGACTATTTTTTCCAAGAGTAAAACAAACTTCTAGAAGAACCCTTTCGTAGTCTGAGTCAGTTTATTGAAAAAGGTAAGTTCAGCTAGCTCATCGTAGTTCTTAAACAAGAAAAACCTTTGACTCAAAAAGCCAGCTTATACAGTGGCGTCTAAAAGAAACTTGAAAATGTATTCACCCAATCGTCATGATAAATGTGCTCATCAGTATTTTGTTTACGAGCCCTTGATTTCGTGTAGAGCACCAGCCTTTCTGAGCATGAACCGTGTAAGTTAGATTTTGGACGCAATCATCTTCTACAAAGGAACAGAAACCAAGACACTACCATGGTTTGGGGTGGCCTGGCTGGTATAAACAATACCCTGCTTGTGAGAATCATCGGAAGGCCTCGTTTAGATGATTACATCGCCCATGTGCGGAAACGTCATGCCGCATCCTTATTTTCGCCATATTATTATTCAAACAGACATATTTATGAAAGACAAAGCTCCTTCTCATAGTGTTAATGACGTAAGACGATTCTTGAAAAAACAAAATATCATAGAAGCAACGGAGTGATCATCCCATGTAACAGCAACTGAAGAAATGCGATTTTGCTCCGAGTTCAGACACAATCCATGCCCAAAGGGTTCGTGTTGATGACAAAGCTAGTGTCTCATAAACAACGTACTAAGGATAGCATATAATGTTACATCCAAGTTTTGCATGGTATTTGTGACTGCTCTGTTTTCTAATATTTCAAACTATCGTCATAAAATATCGTTTAGTACGGACAAAAAAGTATCCTTTTCGTTTATTATATCAATGTGTCTACATAACAAGAGGGGCCACTTCTCTCTTTGAGCCAATTAAAAAAGTGTCCTCAAAATTCGGTGGCGCCCTCTTCGCAAAAGTGCACCTTTTGCGAACAGAGTTATCCTACTTGAGTTTTAAAAAATTAAAGTGAAACTAGCAAAGTTTTTGAATGAATTTCGGGAGAACGCTTTTTTAAAATGGTTACGCTGACAAAAAACCTCTTCCGGAGGAAAGGGTGATTGTTTTCTTCGTTTAATTTATCTTTAGAATGAAAGGCGAGAGGTCATTAAAATATAAATAACCTGAAACTCCGCACTGAACGAACCCGAACTACTGATGAACAGCAGTCGATCTGCGCACGCACGGAGGTGCTATTCCTATTCTTCTTCTGGAAAAACTAAAGAGAGCTTCAAAACAGACTGCAGCGCCATCTGAAGCAAAGAGCATACTTCCTGCGGACACTTTTTTGGCTGAGTGGCCCATCTTGTTATTTACTATATTTGATTATATCAAAGAGATTATATGCAATACATGTCCATCCTACCAGTGTTGGTGCACCTCAGTGCGTGCGCAAACACTTAAGTTTCTTCGATTTCACACATCATTGCCGAGCGTGATTTAATAAGGTTATTTTGGGGTTACCATTTATTATCTCGAGCAACTCCTATCGTATGAAATATTACTGTGTTAAATACTGCATAGTTCATGTTCCTTATTGGGGTGTTGCATGAATGAATGGTGTAAGGCTTTAACACGTGTGAATACAATTCCAAGTTTCTTCTCGAATGCTGCTGTATACACTATGCTTACGGGAGTGCAAAATGCGTGGTATTAAAACTTACTGTAAATGCGACTGCCTAACAATAAATGCGTGAGTCTCACCCAGCAAAGACGTGTGTTTGGCCGAGGTTGGCATGTCTGCCGCCAGTAAGGTCATCAGGACAACGAATGCCAGTAACACCGTGAGAGAGTAGCCAATCCTCTCTCCGCTCTCAGCGGGCAGTAGGAAGAGGAAGATCGTCAGAATGCCATTGACAATCACAGGGAAGACAACATTGAGCCAATAGAAATCAGACCGTCGGACCATGACGACCTCATACGTAATCTGAAAGGCAGAAACCAGGTGGACTGGGTTCGTGTTTTCATTTGAACTAAAACTTTTAAAACTGTATTTCAATATCGGCCTCCTTCCGTGAGTTAATCTCAAAAGTACGATTCAACAAAAACGATAAGAACAGAAATACTTGGGATTAGCTAAAGTGACCTGAATTTATCTAACGAGTGTTTTATCGTTAGCTATCATACAGGAAAGGAATCACAATAAAATGTAGTATTAGAACTAAAGATCAAGCGCTCTAATCCGCGAAATGTGGTTGATATAGCAATCTTTTTTAACCCTTACGTGCTGGATAAACCAAAATGTTTCAATGCTCTGCGCATTCGATCAAGTAGTTTGAAATGGCGGTCATATCACCCCCCCCCACCTCATGCCTTCATGCGTCACGAGAATCACAGCTTGCTGGTTCTTGTTCTTGTAAAACATAAATAATAAAAAGTACGTGTACGTCTCATTACTTCAAAGAACTTCTCGACTCAGAAGTTTGTCATCGACAACCAGAAGAATTGCAACCAACATACGCAGATCAAACGTAACCACCTGCATTGTCCACAGAAATTGAATCTGCACTCAAAAACAGCCCCAGGAACAAAGCCCTAGGACCAGATAACATCCCAGGGGGAGCCAGAAGAGCTTGTGGAAACACCGGTGTACTGTGGCTGCAGCGAATTTTCAATCAATAGAGCCTTGGAGCAAATGAAATGCCCAGAACACTAGCAAAAGCTATAGTGGTCCCATAAAGGACCCACAGAGGATGAAAAGAAAAAAATAAAGTAAAAGTAAAAGTAGACTAGTACTCCCCTTCCTACCTTTCCATAGTCGAGACCGTTGTCCTCGTATGTGGACGTGGTCGTGCTGAGCTGGCCCAGACTCCAGTCTCCGCTTTTCTGGAAGTAATCCGTGAGCATTCCGCGGGAACTTAACGGGTTTACCTCAAGGACTGTGTAACCGAAGCTCGTCAACTGGGTAAATAGAGGACGAGGGTAAGATAAGATAAGATAAGATAAGATAAGATAACATAACATAACATAACATAACATAACATAACATAACATAACATAACATAACATAACATAACATAACAAAACATAACATAACATAACATATCAACATAACAAAAGATTGCTCATTTGGGAAATTTTCTGTGGTTTTACAGGAATGGTAAAAACACATGCAGATAATATACATGATCTAATTTAGATTGTATATTAATAATAATAATAATAAAAATAATAATAGATAGCATTTGTATAGCGCATATCCCCGCTCAACAGCAGGCTCTATGCGCTTTATTAATGTCTTAAAAGAATTTCATTATGAAAAGAAAAGAAAAAAATAACAATAATACAACGCATTTCTAACTACACGCAAGAACTTATCACAAATTTGTAAAGTAATATGAATAATGTGTATATTATGTGCGTATATAAATAAATCAACAGTAGTACACATTAATGTTCATTTCGACAGCAGTCTTATTGCAGATGGTTGGAAACTATTTTTGGATCTTCTTTTGTTGGCTCTTTATGGTATGACCCTACTTCTGCCTGGTGTTTTAATTTGTGTGGAAAGAGGGCGTGATGGGTTGTTTAAAATACTATCATATTTTAGATATATACTTGTGACTTTATCAAGTTCTTCAGTTCAGTTAAAATTATACCCAGAGATGTTGAAAGCTTTCTTTATGAATCGGTCTAATTTTTCTTTGTCTTGCACTATAAAGTTTCCAGCCCAGCAGCGAGTATGAAGCAGCAATACGTGTTCGATCACAGAATTTTAAGGAAATGGTTATTGAAATTTACCATCAAAGTTAAAACTTTTCAATTTCCTTGAAAACAGCTTTCTTTGATTAAAGTAAGTATTACCAGGGCAGCGTGATTATGCCAATCTAGCTCATTGTGATGGCTACTCTAAGTCATTTCTCTATTCCTGTAGAGACCTTTGCATTTGGTGGAGACCGTCTCGTTGTGGCACCGACAGAACTATTCTGTCAAAAGTGGGAATGTGAAAGGGGTACAGGAATGCAACTATAACTCATCTGTACAAAAATGAAGGTGACAGGCAATCTTATGACATTCACAGGGGCATATCCCTCTTGTCTATAGCTGGCAAGATCCTGGCCCGAATTCTTCTCAATCGCCTATTGAAGCATCTGTCTTAAAATGACGCCTTACCTGAAAGTCCGTGTGGTTTCCGCATTAAAAGGAGAGCACAGTAGACATGATATTTGCAGTCAGGTACCTCCAGGAAAAGTGCATAGAGCAGAATAAAGCCTTATACATGACCTTCGTTGATCTAACAAAGGCCTCCAATACCGTTAATCGGAAAGGCTTATTGGAAAATCCAACAGAAGTAGGCTACTGTTGCCAACTGAAGTTCAGAACTAAGGTTTGCGACTTTCATGACGGCATGGAAGCCAGTGTCAGGAGCAATGGTGATTGTCAGAAGCTTTTTGTGTAACAAATGGAATGAAGTAGGGGTGTCTTTTGACACATCCACTTTTTAGCATCATGTTCTCAGCGAAGATGCATGAAGCGTTTCAGAACTTCACTACTAGCGTTGATATCAAGTACAGGTATATAAAACTATAAATGAGATCATGGTTCGTTGTTGCTTTTTTAACTGACATTTATTACATTAAATGCCAAAATAGTACAAATGGGTCGACTGAGAAACAGATCTTTATTGTTTTGTAATATCAAGTCATTTAACTTTGAAGCTGTTTTTCTCATTAGCTATGCTCGTATCTTTCTTACTAGAAACCTGCAATATCTCCAAGAATATTCGAGATATCTAGATTTTTGAAGGGTTTTTAAACATTAATGATTCAGAATGAAAAACAAACTATCTGAAACTACTTTTACCTCAATTATGAAAACTGTCGGCATTTTAGTCATTTTCTTTGGCAGACACACATTAATTGTTTGAGAGTAAACAACATTTGGAATAGGGACTGATAAAGAGAAAATGCTGTTGAAGACAGTTCAGAAACGGAGTTGGCACCTTAAAGTTAAAATACGTACTTCGATTGAACAAATCTGTCTGTCAAATGGGAAGTACGTTGTGTCCATGTCACAGGAAACAACAAGTACGCCCGGAGGATGCCACTTCACAGTGCCTGTGTACGTCACTCGCATAGGAATTGAGTCCTCGTCGATAGCTCCTAGGTGGTCGATGCTGTCGGGAACAGATCAAACTTTTCCGATAGAAAGAAAAGATCGTCTATACCACAACAGGTATCAAACTACGGGTGAACTGTTACATCAGGCTCACGATATAATTTTAGGTCGCCCATTCTGATAATTTCCAAAAAACAGAATCCTACTCCATACAAAAACGAAGATGTTGATAAGAAAAGATTCGGCTCTTAAAAATTGAGATAAGAGCGAACGTTGGCATGCCTTGATTTGTAATCTTTTAAACTATTGTCCGTTAAAATAATTCGTAATATAGTTCAGTTGTCCACTGCTCAAAGAGTGTTTATCGAGTTCAGCCCACAACTGTCAGTCTATTTTGACTCTGGCCCACTGAGCAACTTGGATTGAAACCCTTGATCTAGACTTTCCAAAACAGTTGATTATGTGTAATTGAGCAAAGCCCCAATCGACCAGGTGGAATCAGGAGCTCGTCATTTTTTGGGGTATATTGGCTTATCGGTATCATCTTAAAGCTTGTTCATGTGTCTTGTTTTTTAATTAAAAAGTACCAGTCTATCTTGAATAGAAGTGGAGAGATTTGTGAATGAAGGAGGTGGGGGTTCCCCATTGTCAGAGGTAAAATTAACGAAGTGTCCTTGAAAAAAATGTAAATTTACTTACTTTGTGCCTTTGACCAACGGGGTTTTTTTTGGGTGATGGTGGTGTTTGTTTGGGGGTTTGTTTTGTTGTTGTTGTTTTTTTGGGGGGGAGGGGGGTTGCTGTTTTTTTAAAGCAAAATCCACAAAGATAAGTGTTTTTTGAATGGACTTCAAATTATTTTTGTTAACGGTAAAAATCGTCCCACGAGCAGAAAAAGTACATTTCTTCAATTTTGTAATTTTAACTAGCACCTGATTTCACCTTGATACCACACAACTTGATCAGTTCTGAGGCGGTCTGTTTCGACTCTGTGGGTGAGTTCCGACCCAAGCTCAGTGGAATTCAGTACTCCAGCGAAAAAACATGAAGATACATGTAAATGTAAAAATACATTTTCTTACTTGGGAATCGAACTCATACCTTAAGTAGGCAAGCGCAAAAATATAATCACGACAAAGATATTGTTTCCAAAGGAGATTTGTGGCAAGTATAATCCTTGATGTTTATATTGTCAGGTAAATTTGCTAGACAATTCTATCAGTGGTGGCTTAGCGTCGCGCAGTGTTAAAGATTGATTAATAATGTATTTATTGACTTGAACATTGATTCTGCACTTTTTTTTCTTTGTTCCTTTGGGCAGCATATAATTATTTTTCTAATAGCCCATTCTTAAGTATTGTTTTCACCCATGTATTTGTTCCTTGTCTCGATCTCGTAGCCCTGGTTTAATGGTTACGCCTAGGGTGGTAGATGTCGTCAATTCATAGGAAACAGTCTTGATACAGTCTTTACGTTGGCACCCAATGTTTTGTGGCCGTTCGTTCTCTGGTTTTCAACCCCCCTCCCCTTTCCACCCACTTCCAAATAAAATTACTTATTTTTATAATAATAGAATACCCTTTGTATGAGATAAACAGTTGTTTCAATGCTGATATAGTACGAGACCGGGGGTTGGGGTGGTTGGGGGGGGGGGGGTTTGAGGTGGTTCGGTGGTTGGGGGCAATGATGGTCGGGAGAGTCCACTGGCTGTAAACCTACCTGTTACTAACCACGAGAGCTGGTCTCCATATCCGATCATTATAAAATATTGTTAGACTGATTGAACCCCAGTTAGAAGGTGTCCACTGAAGTCTGCTATCAGTCCAGCTCTGAAAATAAATACATACATGTAATATCTTTAAAATATTGCTTGTTTGGGTGTGTTGTTTTTTTAACAGAATCTGTACTATTATACGGAGTTTAACATTAAACTAGACTTACGTCAGGTCAATTCAATAGGGAAACAACTGGCGATAAAAAAGGTACCTTTTCACTTACTTACTTACTTACTTACTTGCTTACTTACTTACTTACTTACTTACTTACTTACTTACTTACTTACTTACTTACTTACTATCTCCCTATACTGTCGTGTACATAAGATGGAGAGCAGTCGACGCCACGCTTGCCTGCCCTAGGCCACGTTCTCCAATTTCGGCACATTCAGACCCTGTGTGACTGCCTCATCCCTTGTTGTGTCTCTGCAGCTTTCAGTTGGTCTTACTCGTTTTATTTTTCCAGTTGGTCTCCAATACCAGGTCTGGTGGGGCAAACTTGTCTACCGCATTCTTAGAATTTGTCCTTGATATCTCCATCTTCTCCTTTTTATGGTCGTGTTTTTATTGTGTATAAAATCTATTCTTTTGAGTTTTTTCGCTTTTCCTTTCACGTGAGTAATATGTACAGGTGTCTAAAAGAGGACCCACTTAAAGGGCACTAACTGAGTGTCAACTCGGTCCTTGGTGCACTAATTTTAACAAAACTTCGAACAAACTGAATTCAATCAGGGAACAAAAAGTTTGTAAATAGTTTTTTATCCATCAATGCCTCCGTGAAATGTCAAATTTTTTTTTAAAGTCTAGCAAAGTTTTGTAAAAACGCAAAATTTCACTTCTTAGAACCCTTCAGCTACAGGAATGGGGGGGGGGGTGATCGGCTCGTTCTGGTTTCAGGACAAGGATGGTAAAACCACAGCAACGTCAGATGGATATTTCACTGTGTTGAGAAACTTTTTGAGAAGTTTGGGGAGGAAGAGGTGTTATGCTGTGGAGGCCTGGTTCCTCCAGTCGGACGCCTCTCCCCCCCCCCCCTCTTGAAATGTCTAGAGTGGTCCCCGTGTGGTTGTTAGAAAGGTTTGGAGAACGCCTAGTTTACAAATAAATGGTCACCATATTCACCATAACTTGAGTCCTTTTAATTATTGCCGTTGGGCTTATTTGACAGACAGAGTCTATAGAAACAAGCCCTTAGCAACCGAACTTGAAACTCAATGTTGAACAAAAACTCGACCCAAAAACATGCCTTTGGAGTTTGTATGGAGAGAAATGGGCAATCACTGGAGATTTAAATAGCCGTCGCCTGCCTATGTATATTTGGCAATATAATTTTTTTTGCATAAATTTGTTCTCCAAAGCACAAAATAGTGACTGTTTTAAATAGATGAGTACGGTTGATTTTTTAGAAGTTGTAAATTTTTCGTTTTACTTAATTTTTGGTGAAATTTTAAAACGTGACTTTTTTTTCGAACAGGACTGTTGATTTGTTTCACTTTTAAAAATATAACGTCCCACTGACAGAATTTCATTTCTTCAAAATTTCGTTGAAATTGAACTAAAAGAGACGACCGAGTTATTGATCTTTAAATGGGTCCTCTTTTTGAGACACCTGTAACTTTACCTTAGAAAGCAGGTCAGGTTATGAAAATAATATTTAGATCTAGGCGCTTCAGCTCGTGTTCACAGAGCCAACGTCAAAAATAGAAAATTAACAATTTGTTCCCAATCACGTGGAGGAATTTTACAAAGCTTTGATTTTGAAAAGAAGTTCAGGTGTGTCTTTGCAATAACATAGTATTTTGATCAATATGTCACCCAAGAAAGACATCAGAGAAATCAGGCCATCGGCCTGCTCAGTACGTTTCAATATTCTTTTATTTCTGGTGACGTTAAAGGTCCAGGCAAGATCAGAAAAGCTTAGATTACCGCGAAGCGTACTGACTGTTCGATTTATGTTTTCAGTAATTATAAGTCTTAGTCTTTACCCTGACTATGAAGAAATTGTTGAGCAACAATGAAAACTTCGAGAATATAACAACTATCTTTCTTTGACGCTGCGTGTGAAGTTTCGGGAAAAACTGACCAGCTGTGTGAACTTGAAGCTGCTTTTAGTCAAAATAGTTCTTGAACACCAAAAGATAAAGCCATATCTCTATCTCTCTGTTATCAAACTTTTTTAAAAAATTTACATAACACAGAACCTTACCCTTAACACAAACAAACTTGTTGACAGCAAAAAAAAAGAAGCCAATCAACCATCTTTGACATACTGGCGTAGAAGTCGTTATTATTGTTGTCTGTTTTAATTGATATCGTTGAAAATAAAACGGGGTTCAATTTTCTACCGCTCAACGGGTCTTTATTCCATTCGATCTTCAACCTTTGGTGTAATTTGAGCTTGGCCACCGAAGCGATGTGTTTGACACACCTGCCCCAAACTGTGCACTGTCGTGGCTAGGCCATTGCCCTCTATAAAACATCCGCTTGAAATATGCGCTCCCTGGGCGTCTAGATGAAGATCAAAACACCAATCTCGTTATGCTACAGTCGAGGGCAGAGGATATTCGGAGACGTCTCCGGCGAACACCCAGGAACTATTTAGAGATGCACTCCCACACACAGATTGCACTGCTTTGGGGGGGGGGGGTCAAACTGCGTTTTATTTGCTGCAGATCACACATACAGCAACGAAGATATTCGCATATCAATTATTTTAAAGAAAATTTCAAACTTAACTGTAAAATATCAAATTATGGGGTTAAAACAGGGGAGGGGAGGCTATAACACACCCAGATGTTTTTACTTGGTCTAGAGGCACAAAGCATTTTGACTGGTCTATTTCCGTCGGAGCCGTCTCCGAGTAGATACTGCGCCGGGTGTGTGCAGCAAGTATTAATTCTCCTTGCCCTTCTTTTTGGCTGTTCATTCAGTCAAACAGTGCACTCCTTAGTAAAACAAAATTACGCCAGAGTGCATAGTTTAAGATATTAGAGTATAAGTCTATGGTTATACCTTGCTTGAGCATTAGGTGTAACATATGAAAAAGCGACTTCCTCTCTTTTTTTCTTCTTTTTTTTTAGTAGAGGGTTTTACGGCGCTCGCAACAGCATACGGTCATATGAGCACCAAGGGATGGGTGTCAACAGAGAAGTCCTTACAGGTGATCAGACTTACTCTGCTCTCCTCTCCAGCTTCAACAGCACAAAGTCTGCTTCGACTATCAAGACACCCCGGAAATAGCAGTTCACAAGAGAGTGACAAACATACAAAAAGAAGTAGAGGAAAATGACAATAGCAAGGATTAGGAGCGAAAAAGCAGTATTTCCCTGTTGCAGATCAGGCACAGTTATGAGCGTGACATGACGAATCAGCCCATTTACAATTCTAATGTGCTTGAACGAGAAATGCCCCCCCTTTGTGAATGACCTATAGACACTACAGTCAGTGGCACTACCGGGGGGGGGGGGGGGGGGTAACTTGCTCTCTGTAAAATAAAGACCAAACAAAAACTCACCATTACCCACCATCCTGACACTGAGAATGTTTGGGCCTTAAGGTCCTGGGGAAAATTAATGTGCAATAATTAGATCATTCCAATGGAGGCAATAGCGGAGACTGTGTTTGAGTATAAGTATGGACACAATAACGGCCATTCAATGTTTGGGGTTTTTTGCTTTGTTTTGTGTTGTTTTCATTTTGATCTGGTTTGGTTTCGTGGGGTTTTTTTCTTGATTTGGGAAAAGGCGGGAGGGGGGGGGTGCGTGTGTGCATGCATGCGAGTGTGTGGGTGGGCGGGGGGGGGGGGGGGAGAAAGATAGTCTATATTTAGAAGCAAGAAGGCAAAGAGCAAGGGGCCATGGTAAACTCATAACATTTTGATGTCAAAAGACGCTATATATTACCACATCTAAGAGCCAACTTATCACATCTGAGATCTAATTTATTTTATCCAACACAAATGTTTGTGATTTCATGTTTCAATCATCTCCTTTAAGACCTTACCTCCTGTAATAAGAATACTGTATTAGTTTCACCTTTAATGATTATTTGATCTCTTGTTTACTTTCAAATTCTGAGAAAATATAACTTACCTCGTCTGAGAACTATCTTATCACTTCTGGATCTAACTTACCCCCTAAATTACCACATATTAGTACATGTATAAGTAAGAGTTTTACGTCATTTGCAACACACTAAGGCCATATAAGTGTCAAAGTTTTGAGTTGTTTAAAAAAAAAGAGCAACAAACACAAAAACAAGGAGAGATAAAGGCGATAGACGTTTGATAGGAAACAAGGAGCAAACCACACCAGAGCACCCGCCAGCCATCCACTTATCACATGTGAGATAATACAGCATATCACTTCTGAGATCAAAATCACATCTGAGATATAACTCAATACACCAGGGCTCTTACTTACCACGCTCATGATTCCTGTCATCTGAAAGGAGACATCTACGTTGACCGTACCATTTGGCCGCACTCCCTTGCTATAGTTGGAAAGTATAGAGTCTTGTAGTGCAGACTCAGTGTCAGGAGAGTAGAAGTGGCAGAGCTGAGGACAGAAGCATACTGGCAGCCCGCAAGGGGGCGCAAAATATAATATTTCAGCATAATTGTTGTTGCTTTGGGGAGGGATGGAGTGGTGCCAGTGGGCGTGTTATTTGTCTCAAATGTATCTGTTGTTGTTGTATTGTATTGTTGTTGCTGCTGCGGTTGTTGTTGTCGATGTTGTCGTTGCCGCTGACAAGGATGACAGCCTGTAAGATGACAGATTGTGTTAAATGCTTCCTAAGAAGTTGAACATGTTTCGGGAAATCTTTAGGTATATCGAGATAATAACAAATGGAGACGCGAATGGAGACTACTTTTGGGCAGTCATAAGTACAACGTCACTGATTTAGTTTAGTTTTAGTAATTTTAGTAAGGTTTTACGGCGCTCGTAACTGCATAAGGTCATAAGAGCGCCAGCAGAGGGTGGATGTCAACAGAGAGAAGACAAAACGGGGAATCATGCTTACTCTACTCACCTCTCTAGCCTCAACAGCACAAAGTCTGCTTTGACTATCAAGGAAACCCGTAAAGAACAGTTCACAAAAGATTGACAAACATACAAAAGAAGTAGAGGAAAAATTATGGTTTATTATTTGATAGTAAGGATTAGGAAAGAAAAAGCAGCAGTTCTCCTTATGCTGTTCTGGCACAGTATGAGCATGACATTGAGAAATCAGCCCATTTACAATTCAACTGCATAAGAACATGTTAACCTCCCCCATTTGGGAATGGCCTAAAGACAACTCTAGTCGGTAGCACAGCCCTTGTTTTTTTTTAATCGATTTATTGATTTTTTAATTATTTTTTTTAAATTTTGTGTGTGTGGGGGGGGGGGGGGGGGGGGGGTTAATGTCACTGCAATCTACTTCTATAATGATGAAGATGATGAGGATGATAATTCTTGTCGTTTTTTTTTGTGCTCATGTATACCCTCGTGCCCTTTCCGTTATAACGTTATAATTTAAATGAATTAATTTCTCTTATTTGATCACCACTGGGTTGGACGATGGTTCAACCAACCTGCACTCCAGAAAGATACGACGGTCTCAATGCTTTCAGTTTCAGTCGGGTTCAGATTAAACACATGTGTGATAATTCCTATAGTACCTATAGTATCGGATTCGGGTTTTTTTCTACGGTGTGGTTGTTGTTGTTGCTTTTTTTTTGGGGGGGGGGTGTTTTCAAGGTTTTTATTCTGCCCACTTTCTTTCATTATTATTCATTCTTCCCACTGAGTCAAGCGTTCTTCTTTTGAAATGGCATGATTGTGTTCAGTAGGCGCTATACTCATTTCATAAAACGATACACCTGAAAGGTACGTAAAAATGAATTATCAAAAAGACAGAAAGACAGAGAGACACAAATGCTGTAATATTTTAGATAACGAATAAAGATGGAAAACAAATTTAAGCATCATTGTTTTAAAAAATTTATACTACTTACACAAAAAATACACGAGACACAATTTGTCTGCAGACATAGCAATAGTTCCCACGCAGATACCTCAAAAAGAGGTATCCACGACAAATCTCGACATTAGAATAGACCGTTCCGTTCTATGGTTGCTATTCATGTAGGGTATTTTTCCCCTTGACTAAATGTTGTTGATCAGTCAGGCATGAACGACTGCTAATATAGTGAAAGACTTTCTTGATTGAGAGAATAAAGTGGGCTGTGTATGTGCGACTGTTCTGAGAAAGGATAGCTTCTGGGCACTGATTACCTTGGGGTTTTTTTTTTTTGGGGGGGGGGGGATTGTCACGTTCGATCAATATTTTGAAATGAAAAGCACTCCAGTGGCAACTCATTATATAATTTGGTTTCTTGTGTGTGTGTGTGTGTGTGTGTGTGTGTGTGTGTGTGTGTGTGTGTGTGTGTGCGTACGTGCGTGCGTGCGTGCGTGCGTGCGTGCGTGTGTGTGTGTGCATGTATATATATAATATATATGTATGTATATACATATATATATACATATATATATATATATATATATATATATATATATATGTATATATATATATATATTATATATATATATATATATATATATGTATTTATATATATATGGGGGTGGACGAAGAGGGAAGGGGGTTATACCGAGAGAGAGAGAGAGAGACTTCACTTGTTTTGAATAGAGGAGAGAGAAAAAAAAAGGTAGCATCGCTATAATTATAAATGCATTTGGAATAAATGCAGTCTGTTTTATTTTTTTATTTTTTATTTTTAATTTATGTTTTTTATTAATTAATTAATTAATTTATTTATTTATTTATTTATTTATTTATTTATTTATTTTTTTTTTTTTTTTGGGGGGGGGGTTAAATATACTTTTATATTTCCCTCTGTATCTCTACAAAATCGTGAATGCTGTTCCCAAGGCATACTTTGATACAAATGATAATACAAGAACATGTATACTGCTCACCGCTTTGTTTTGATTGTTTGTTCGGCTGCTTGCACTGTATGCTTCCCCAAAGGCCTAGAATGTTTACGAATGTTCTTGGGGATTGTAACATAGATCGTAAAGCGCACAGAGCTGCTGGCTGTTGAGTGCTGATAATATGCTCTATACAACTTTGTTTATGCTGGAGGTATAATATTATAGTTCAGAGGTCCCGCGTCCAAAGAATGTTATTGTCAAACCTCGTTAAACCCATAAATATTGTACATTTTAAAGTACATGTACACCGGAACCATTCTTAACTTGAGACTCGAATCCAAACATTCTAGCTATAACTGCATTGTATATAACAATAAATTACATTATATGTATTTCGCAACGAGTTAGAGCAAAAACATGGGCGGCGTGACGTCACTGTCACAAAATCTGAGAGGGTAATATCGCAATAGCGCGCTGAGGCGTGGGCATTTCCACTTGGGCAAGAGCTATAGTGCCAGGGACCTATTAAAACTACTTGACCGGTAAGTTACCTTCCCTGTTTAAATATTGTTCCTCTCAACCACTTTCGTCTGCATGCTATTCTGTTTTGTGAAGTCACGACCCGAGGTCTTTATTCGGATGTTTTTAGTACCGGGCGGTTACAGTGTAAATAATGACCAGTAGTCAGAGAGAAATGTCCCTGGGCTTTTTTACATACTACTACTATTACCTGTGTCCTTTTATGCGACCACCGAGAGTGGTTGGTGGGTGCTCCCGTGTGGTCTGCTCCTTCAGCATCTTTCAGTGTTACTGTTTGTTGTTTGGGGTTGTTTTTGTATTGTTGTTTGTTTTTGTTTTATTTAGATTTTTATGTAGTAGGTGTTATTACGCTTCGATCGATACAATGTAGATCATTTGGGATGCGGGCTTCCGACCTCACCTGTCATGCCCAACACGGGCTGACAAATACATCCCAGAAGAAAGACCATGATACCTCATGAAAATTGTCTCCCCACTCAGGAATCGAACTCGGGTCTCCTGTGTGCGACAGCGAAGCGCCAGACTGCTTCAACATAGGTAAAGTTGCCTTTAATTGGAAGCTATATACCATTATCTTTTGCATCTCTCCCCCCCTCTCTCTCTCTCTCTCGGCCATGTTTTTTTTCTCTTGTTACCTTTTTCTCTCCTGTATGCTGTCCATCCGTCCGTATGCCCGTCTCGCTTTCTCTTTCTCTCTCTCGCCCACACACACACTCACAGGACAAGGGCAAAAAATCTCGGAGGGCCCGTGTGCAAGTTGCGCACGTTAAAGATCCCTTGGTGGTCTAAAAATCGATAAGAGTAGACTTCGGCCGCCACCCGGGCAAAATTCAAAATTTCCTACCAACGAAAAAGTATAAGGTGTGTCCCGCGCGTTCATATGACCTTATGCAGTTGCGAGCGCCGTGAAACCCTATACTAAACAAACAAACAAACACACTCGCAGTTCACTTATATTGGAAATGCCAGTCTGTCAGACCAGCCGCCCATCTCCTCCATCCCGGAGTTTGAAGTTTCTATCAAGTTTTGTCCACCAATAGAGCTCCAAGTCAGCCGTGGTATTTCTTGATACCACCCACACATGCCCCCCCCCCCCCCCAAAAAAAAAAAAAAACTGCAACAAAAAACAAAAAAACAAAAATTTCTTTTACATAAAAAATAAAAAAAATGATTTGATTGATTAATTAATTTTTTTTAATTTTGAAGAAGGAGGAGGAGGAGGAGGAGGAGGAGGAGGAGGAGGAGGAGGAGGAGGAGGAGGAGGAGGAGGAGGAGGAGGAGGAGGAGGAGGAGAAGGAGAAGGAGGAGGAGGAGGAGGAGGAGGAGGAAGAGGAGGAGGAGGAGGAGGAGGAGGAGGAGGAGGAGGAGGAGAAGGAGGAGGAGAAGGAGGAGGAGAAGGAGGAGGAGGAGGAGGAGGAGGAGGAGGAGGAGGAGGAGAAGGAGAAGGAGAAGGAGAAGGAGAAGGAGAAGAAGAAGAAGAAGAAGAAGAAGAAGAAGAAGAAGAAGAAGAAGAAGAAGAAGAAGAAGAAGAAGAAGAAGAAGAAGAAACGTAGGTGTTTTACGCCTCCCATGGATACAATTTAGATCATTCAGGAGGCGAGTTTTTAACCCTGCCTTTTAGGACCAACCCGAGCAGAGACAGACAGCATCTCAGCAGAAAGACCGAGATATTCGATAAAAACTCTCCCCACTCAGGAATCGAACTCGGGTTCCTTGCGTGCAACAGGGCAACGGAAAAGCGTCTAACCACTACACAACAGATGCCGGTTCGCACAATCCCACGCAGACACAATGCCATGATGTGGTTTGCTCCTTATTTCCTATCTATCAAACATCTATCGTCCATATCTCTCCTTTGTTATGTTTGTTACTCTCAACACATTTTATCAAACATCTGTCGTCCTTATCAACCCTTCTTTTTTTATGATTGTTACTCTCTTGTTACACCTCTAATCTTCTGGCGCTCATACGACCTTATGCAGTTGCGAGCGCCATAAAACCTCAACTAAATAAAACAAAGACACAATTTATTATTCAAGAAATGGGCTGGTTGGATTCTGCAAGTCAGAGCCAGCCTTGAATTGGTCGAGTAGTTGTAGTTTAGTTAAGTTTTAGCAATGATGATCTTTAGTTTTAGTAGAAGTTTAACGGCGCTCGCTACAGCATAAGGTCCTATGAGAGCCGGAAGATTAGAGGTGTTACAAGAGAGTAACAATCATAAAAAAGAAAAAGGGGAGATAGGGACGACAGATGTTTGATAGGAAAGAAGAAGCAAACCACACCAGAGCACCCGTCAACCACCCAGTTTAGTTTAGTTTTAGAAAGCGTTTTAGCGACACTTGCAACACGTTTCGATCATATAAGTACCCAAGAGTAGGTGGTAGGTGTTACAAGACAGTAATAAAACATCATATAAGCGCCCAAGATTAGAGGTGTTGCAAAAGAGTAACCAACACGAAAAAGGAGAGAGATAGAGACGATAGACGTTTGATAAGGAAAGAAGGAGCAAACCGCACCAGAGCACCCGCCAACCACCCACGGGTCGAGGAGGATACAGCATTCCAGAACACAGGAATACTCTATAAACCAACGTTGTGTTTTCGGGAAGACACGAATTGCCCCTACTTCACCCTGATGGGTTGATGGGTACCGGGCTGGATTTTGTCAATTTGTAAGTGCTTTAGCGTGTGTAATCCGCAGCTTGCACTGTGTTTCCTGGGAAGCCAACAATGTTTCTGAGTCGTGTATTAGGGTCTTCTGGGGTAATAGCAGTTGCAAAGCTCATAGAACATGAATAGCGTGGATTTTATTTATTTTTTGGGGGGGGGGGGGGGTATGGATTTTACGGCGCTCGCAACTGCATAAGGTCATATGAGCGCGGGACATATTAAACATTTTCAGTTGGAAGAAAATCTTGAATTTTGTCCGGGTGGCGGCCGAAGCCTACTTATTTCGATTTTAGACCACCAAGGGATCTCGCGCAATTTGCAGATGGGACCTCCGAGATTTTTCGCCCTTGTCCGAGAAGGCCAGGTGTAGATCTTTCCTACCAGAAGATCAGGAGTATGGCTGAAAGACAGCAGTAAGGAGGAGCCAACGAGTAGCAGTAGAAAGGCTGCAGAAAGAGTCAGGAGCCCAGAGGAGGGGGCAAAGGAGGTGAGGGTGTGGGACAGAAAGTGGAGACGAAAACAGACGACAGAATATTGCTAGAGAGCAGAAAAGGAGGCGAAAGGAGACACTTTTAGAGAAGAAAATGTTTCCGTCGCTACCCAGATTCGACCCCGGGACCTTTGAAAGAGAGGTGAACACCTTAACCTCTTGGCCAAGAGAGCCCCCCTAGCATGGATATGCGCTGTGTATAAATGAAATTATGATTATCATTTATCAAACAAAGTACATAGGTCTACATGTACTCCATGAGGGAATTAACGCTCATGTTTTCTAAGTGCACCAACACCTAGCCTTACCAATACACCACAAACGCCATTCCACAGACATAAACCAAAGACCAACAAGTGTAGAAAACATCACAAAACAATAAATATAATCATGTCTTTAAAAATCAACTCATGAAAAACGTCCCGATTTGTTAGCGCGAGAGCTGTGATCTTTATTCCACAAGTCAGAGGAACTAGAAGCATAGGTCACTACGGAGTGGTATTGCACACATTACAGATTAAAAACATAAGACTGGGGAGGAGAAAGAGGAGAAGGAGAAGGAGGAGGAGGAGGTGGCGGCACTGATGACGAGAGCGCATGCGTGCACGTGCACGCTCACCTCACGCCGGACGACATACTCACTTGTTAGCTCACTGTGCCAAGCAAATATTTCCTTTAGGCTTACATTCATCTTCTGGAGAGATTTGTTACCAACGGAGGGAAAAAAGTAACTTTTATTTTTCTCACTAATTTTGGATCATTTACTAACATGGCACAAAACCCCCCCAAAAGTTCCTTTTCTCCCTCCTTTCGGAATATACACTTCTCTGGTGCTGTACTTAGAGAAATTTTATGAATGAACAAAGCTTCCTCCCTCCCGATCCCAAGCTTTCTTATTACCATCACTAACCCTTTTTATGATTTCAAAAGGTTTTGATATCTGAAGATAACTCAATTATTCCAAATCTCAGAATTTGCCCAATGTTAATGCGGCCGTTAAGGAACTGATTCCACTTAACTGCATGTTTTCTTCAACTGCTCTTGCCTTAACTGCAGTTTGGTGTGTGTTTAAACTACCTTCAAATGATGACAATTACAGTGACTCAGAGATCTGATGGTTGATTCAACAAGATCACAACAAAAGAGGACAGAAAGGTGGAACTGTACTTAATAGTAACTATATCCCCCCCCCCCACCCCACTTAACAAAGTCTCTTCTCCTTGTTTCATCTGATAACAAAGTGAACTCGACAAAAGTCAGGGCAATAAAGCTTGGATAAGACGGATTGGACAGGTTGTCTGCGGTCTGCGGCCATGCCATAGGTAAAAGCCAGTGAGAAGTCTTATCTCTTTTAGTTTTAGTAGAGGTTTTACGGCATTCGCAACCGCATAAGAACAAGAGTCTTATCTCCGAGGTACAGAATAAAGTACAAAACTGTTGCCAATAACCTATAGCAGATCCTGTCTCGGGACAGGAGCCAACAAGCGAGAGTTCTTTCCAGCACAGAGTAGACAAGAAGTTGATGAGAATAGTAGCAGAACAGCAAAACCTCCCGCACAATAAAAACCTTTTTTTTTTTCATCATGTTTAAAAACAATTGCAAAAAAGTATGACCACAAATGAACAAAACAGGATAGAAATATTCTACCCCAGATAGAATAAGAATAAGAGATGACATAGCAAAGAAACGCACAGGGCGGAGGGAGGGGGTGGGGTCTGTTACGAGAGGGGGAAGCATTTACAATTTTTAAACTTTGCTCATTCACAGGGGGCGGGGAGGGGGGCGGGGAGGGGGGCGGGGAGGGGGGAGGGGGGTGTTTACGACCGTTCCAGCAAACTGTTAATCGAGAGAAGAAAAAGACAAGGACAGACAGACCAACAGGAACAATGACATACTTTTAAAAGTGGGGGATTAAAAAACAAGAAGCTTCTTCCCTAAGCAAAGATGACTTACAGAAAATACCTTGCAGATATATGTACAGGAGCAGATGTTGATATCAAAGGTGTATGTGGTTTACATAGAAATCTACTAGAACATTCAGTACAGCTTCCTCTCCACGCCTGCCACTCACACAAGGTATTATGTACATGTGGTCATGAAGAAACTTGGTGGGAAAAGGAATCAAAAGGCCTATCCTTCTTGCATTTATACTTGGACCAGAGTTCATCTTATTTTTATAGTAACAAAAAAAAATCAGATAAAAAACACCACGAACACAGCAATAACGTAGTATTACAAGATAATGGTTACTCCATACACATATAACAGTTATGCGAAACTCAAATTTAATGGCAAGACAGATTGTCTCTCTCTTCCTCTCTCTCTCTCACACACACACACACACACACACACACACACACACACACACACACACACACGCTCTCACACACACTGCAACAAGTGATGTTTCCTACTACACTCTGCACATTAAAAAGACAGTAATATGCCGTCGTTCAGTTTCAAGGACAAAGAACTTTAGATAAGACAGGTCGATGAAAAAAAAATAATACAGAAAGTACATGGACTTAAGAAAAATCGGATGCTCCTTCAAATAAGCCTGGAGTAAACTATTTTTCTTAAAAAGGACTAAGACTGTAATGATGAAAAAAGAGAGATAGTTTGGGGAACACAGATTCCCTGAGGCAGCTCGCTGAATCAATGCACCCATTAGACTTGACAGTCTCTACTCAGCTCAGCTCACTGCAAAACTGAAGAAAGGGGACATTACGTTAAGTAAGTTGCTAATCACCATTTCTTAAGCCAGCCTTAATACCTGACACAAGCAATAGGAGCAAGAGACATATATGTATATATATATATATATATATATATATATAGCAACTACTACATGATCTATGGTCACAGTCTTTTTTTAGTTTGAAGATGTACATCTTAAGAAAAAAAAAAAAAACAGTTAGGAAGGGGGGAAAAGAGAAAGAATATATTTCTGGGAGGCATATTGTCACTCTGATCTCAAACAATCTATATTAGGTTAGTCTTCAAAGTGTGAAGTTTCAGAGCATCTAAGACAAGAAATGCTGTACCACATCTATTTTTTTTAAATTAACAAAAAAACAAACAAACAAAAATCCTGAAAGTTATACATCCAGGGCCTGCTTTCAAATGAAGACATCAACTTTGATCTATCACTTTCACCAAGGTGAGCTCCACCTTTATCTAATGGTACTCTCAACACTGGACAACAAGACAGACGTTGTGAATCACAACACACAACCGCTTCGAGTCATCTTATGGCCCACAAAGACTGACACAAGAGGAACATCCGAACATGGCATTAGTCTGTGGAACAAAAGAATCAGTCATCTGGACACACACAGTGACGGGAAATGATTTAAACAGACCTAGACACTACATTCATACCCTGACAGGACTACAGGCCAGTGGAATTTCTGCTTATTAGCGTAACATCAAGAGAACTTTGTGACAAGGCAAAGACCACAAAAAAAATAAAACCAATTTCAATTTACAGACAATAGAAAACACACACGTACCACTACATTAAAAAGTTGCCACATAAACAAACATATATGTACAAATACGTACAATGTGTACACAAAGATGCACCTCAGCACTCACACACACACACACGCACACACACACATTGGTAATTATACAAGGACAAGACTAATAAGAAACTGCAGTAAGAGAGAGAGAGAAGAATGAAAATGAATGCATATCAAAACATGTACAGACTAGTGTTGTCAAATAGACAGCACTGCATGTTACTTATACATCATTAACAAGTCAAAAGATGAGAGAGAGTTAAATTGTAATAAGATGTTCTTGTTAAAGACTTGACAATCAACAGCTCAAACTTATTTCTTTCACCAATGACTGACAGAAACGCATTTTTTAAGACGAATTGAATACAAGCCTGTCATCGACTTCTTTTTTCACTATCTCTCTCCTCTCTCTTTTTCATCCCCAAACACCTTCCAATTTCCTCTTTTTCTTCTTTCTACACCTGAACTCAGACATAACACAATAAGATTGTGAATGATAAAAGAATCCCATAAAAAACAAAAAGCTTAAGCTCTGCCCCCACATCAAAAGACAAAACAAAATTTCTTGTTTATAAAATCAGTTTCAGAATGTACATTTGCCCATTTTTACAATGAATTCAATTTCAAGGAAACAAAAGAGCAGCTAACACACCCTAAAAAGGATTTACTTATTGGATGCAAATAATAATGTCCAGTAGTACGCTTTGTGTGTAATTTGGTCAAATTCCGTAGCACAGAAAATAAACAAAAAGACCAACGAAAAAGAGAAGTTTTCTGGATACTTGTTCATTATAGCCTTAGATTACGCTGGACAGGACGATTATCTTAGCAAACAACAAATAGAGAAACAGTTTACTCTAAAAGAAGATATCACAAACACGTAAATATCTTCAACTTCTCAGCACTAGAAAAATTAAGGACAATTTGGTACCATGAAAAAATAATTCCTGCTTCCTGAAAATTGTTTAAGTCACCATCCTTTTTAGACAACATTACGATGTGCATCCAGAAAAGAAAGTCTGCTGCACAATACACACATTGATCCAGAGAAATCACGCTCCCCAGCTGGTCAAAAGCTTCATCTATGCCGATTGCTATGACCGAAATCAGCCTCTACACACATTGGTCCCAATATTCATTTCTTTCTGCTCATAAGATCGATTATGCCAACACTAAAATTGAAAGAATTAAAACAAAATCATATAACACAGTACAACAAAAAGAGAAAAGTCATTCGGCATCACAGCCAGTGATATTTTCAGTGCCTCTTTACAAACTTATGTCACTTATTACAAACTGTTTATGCAAACATTGCTCAAGTCTCAGATAACCATTTAGGGCCAAGACAACAGTAACCAGAAGGGAAGTTTGACTTAACGAGATCATTATCATGGGGCAAGTAATTTCACTCTCGACTCTACAGCATTAACAGTGCAGTTCACACAGGGTGATCATTGTGTATTCATTCACTTGTCTACCCACTCAGCCCTTCCTATCCTGGTTTTGATTGTTCTGCTCATGTTCACACAGGAATAGTTGCCTGAGCTCAAAGCAATGAGACAAAAAGTACAAACAAAAGGAAATATAATACTGATTTTTGACTTGTAGTTATCCAGATGAAGCGAAACTCACAAACGCTTGACTCACAGATAGACGCTGACGGATTTAGTGCAAGAGAAGAGAATGAAAAATGTTAGTAACGATCCTGACTCTTAATTGTTCACTGCAGCACAAATCTCTTACAAAAACACCTGTATCGAGATCCATGATGGTCTTACTGAAACTTTTACCAATCACTAGCCTTCAACTTAACGTCTTCTCAAAACTTGGTTTTTATCACCTGAGAAGTGAAAGTAGAACTGACATTTGGCCATAATAAACATGGAAAGATCAATGTTTAAAAAATCTGAGGCAAAGTAAAACTTACAGTCAAATGAGAAAAAATGTGTTAAAAAGTTCATCATGTGAATGTCTAGTGGGGGGTGTGGGGGTGGCAGAACGTGACAGAATCTGAAAAACCCTCCTGAATAGACAGAGTGCAGTGTGATCTTCCTTTATCACTGCCTCCCTTCCCCCCCCCCTCACTAGATATTCAAATGGTGAACTTTTTAACTCTCCAGTTCACCTTGACATTTAAGACCTTTTTAAGCTTTGACAAAACAAAAGGCATTGACAAAGACAATCTAATTTTCTTAAGACACTAAGATTTCAAAACACTTTTACAGCCATCACTAACTTCATAATTATGTAAACAGAAGGGGCGGCACTATAAAAAAAACATTTACACTTTCACTCCTCACAGTCTTCTTGAAATAGCAACAAATCATTCTGTTCCGAATAAAACTCTAAAGATACTAAACCATCATTATCACTTTCACTGCAAGTCTGAACCTAAACCTACATACATATTTCTGTTTCAGACTAAAGGAAATCAAACAAAAGAGACGTTGCAGAATCAAAACCTGCAAACCACCACGCTCCACAGAAGTATACAACATCTCCACGTAACACTAAATGTCATACGGTCCATCAAGACGCTCCTCAATCAACCACTTCCCCCCCCCCACCACTATTACTTTTAATGAACAAACACCATAACTGCACAAATTCAATACATTCAAGATGTTCATTGAACACATAAGCTACATCTTTCACACAAAAAGCTCATTCAGCATTCACTGTACAACTTTCAGACAGAAGACATGAAGTTACTCATTATGTTTTTTAAAAAAAATACTGGCACCATCTGAGCCAGCCGTTGTCCTGTGAAATGTCAACTTGACACAAACAGAATCTACAAAAGAAAGCAAAATAAATAATTAGTGTGACTACACAGGGAGATACTTTGAGCAACAAACCATGCAAACCTGCCCCAAGCCTTGAGATATCTGGTGCTCACTTTCACAAAGCACTGACATTGAATGTATTGCTAAATGTACAATATACAAGTGCAAGGAAAACATTTGTTATTATATAAAAGAAACAGCAACACATGATTATTATGATATCATGAAACAAGAAACAAAAGGAAAAAAAAACTCTGCTTGTAGTTCAATCAAGTGAAATTCATAGACCAAACACTATTGTACTAGTGAAGCGTATCATTTGGCAAAATTCCCATAGCATTATGGTGTCTGCTATAATAGCAGTGGCATAAACATGAGGTCATTATCATCTAATGACCATGATGGGGTATAGAAAACAAAGCTGGAGGTTATCTTAACCCATACGTTATGCAGAATGATGCAAATGCAATTCAAGATTACAAAACAAGATACAGCATGTTCGAACTAAACAAAACAAAATCCCTATTCTAAGACTAACCTTTCTATTTAACGTTTCTATTAACAAAAATATAGTTTAATTAACAACCATCTCGACTGCATTCACTCCATAACAAAACACAGGCTCTAGCCTCATATATCCAGTACTCCCTCCCTTTCAAAAACTCAAGAAGTAAAGCAAAACAAAAAATAGGCGAGTTTTAAGTAGTATTCCAGTCTGAAGGAGGCTTTATATGTATCTTTACATACAAACCCACACCGTCAAGAGGTTTTTGCTGAAAAGGTCGTAAATCACCTGAAGTAGTCATCTAGAATGACAATGACCAATAACAAAAATTCACTGACCTATATCCGTGCTCAATAGTATGTTTACAGTGTGATCGCCTTCATGGACAACATATTACGCAGTTGACTCCCTTTATGCTGTGTGAGAGGTATCACAAACCGAAGTGATACAACAGAGAACAGTACGGTACAAATGAGTGCGCCAATGCTAAACATTAACCCAGAAATGTGTACAAAAAGAACCGAACAACAATGAGAGTTAAAAATTTCTCATACTGATGACATGATAAATCATAAAAGAAACAAAAAACAGATCTCAGATATTTGAGTGAGATTACATTTGGTGTTCAATCACAACTACTAGTCTCCCAACACAAAAAGATGATCCAATCAACTTTTACTGGATCGAATTCGACACTACCACCTGTGCGCTGCCAACCTCCTAGACAAAAAAAAAACCAACAATCTACAGCCCTCTAATTTTTTTGGTTCCACTCTAACCTTCCACAAGCTTTACCGTCTATCTTATTCCTGGTAGGGGGGGTCAAAACTGTGCACAGACTACCATGTTCTGCAGCATCAATGCCAGGTCAGGGCAAGATGTTCACATTTGTTATATAAGCAGAGTATTCCTCTTACATTTTACAGCACAGCCAAGCTTTTCATAAAATCAGCAATCTAATCAGTACTGACACAGGTTCATCATATTTTTAACAAATACTCAACTTAAAGAATGTACAAGTAAAAACAGCCTTCCTCCATCAAAACAATCATAAAACAAAAGTGAGAGCTAATTGGAATTTCAGAAGAACACAAAACCATAACTTTAACTCACCTAAAACAGGATTCTTTAAGGTAATCGTTTACAACAAAAGTCAATTTTTCAAAAAGGCAGACTTCATATAGCAAACACAATAAAAAAAAAAAATTAACAACTCGGTATTCATTCAACTTTGCGTCGTGTGACGATGTCTTTTGAAAAATTTGGATAGCATTAATTAAACAGCAAGCTTCTCTTCTGCGTGCATGATAAAAACAACCCATCTACTTCAAAGGCTTTTGTTCTCGTAGGCTGACAAGGTGAAAGTTCCATCATTGGTGGAAAGATCTCTGCTGCAACAAGCTCATCATTACAGCCTTGTGTTCCACGCCATGGGAATGTCGCTGCACACAGCAGGCAGGAACCAATGTCAAGATATTGATTGACACAAGTGCCAACTGTTACTGCGGTATCCAAGACCATCACTCAGTGACAATGTCCCAGGTTCACAGAACACCAACAAGTCTGCATCAAACTCCACCTTTACTCATCTGTCCAACAGATGCTCTCCCACCTCATACGTTAAACTTCCAAACAGTTTCCCATCTCACCCACCCCCTCTCTCAGGCGCACAGGCAAACAAGAAAAATGCTTTCAGACAACACTGCGACTCCTCCTCCTCACATGTTGTAGGCCACATAAATAGGATCCAGCTGGTCTGTGAGGAACCCGTCGCGCAGATGCATGCGCTGCTTCTCCCCACGGGAGTTGATGGGGATGACACCGGGGTCAACAACCACCACCACACCCACAATGAGGTAATGGTCCTCCAGAACCACGTTGGTCACCAGGGGCACCAGGTCCAGGGCTTCATTCTCGTGTCCGTCCAGCTCGACCACCACCACAAGCAGATTGGTCCACGTGAACACAGCGCTGGGGAGGGCACAAAAGGAAGGTGTGAGTTTCTTGGTATGTTTCACTTTTATTTGATTTGTTTGATTCCTTTAAGTTTAGTTCAGTTTAGTAGAGTTTTTATGGCGCTCGCAACTCCACAAGGTCATATGAGCACCAACGAGTGGATGTCAACAGAGAATTCCATACAGGGAACCAGGCTTACTCTGCTCACCACTCCAGCTTCGACAGATAAAATAAAAACCTTCCTGCTGAACCTTCACACAACTATAACATGGGCTTAAATGAAGTTCCCATGATATACTCATGTACAAATTACTTTACATTTACCTCTGTATAGTCACAGAAATGATACCAAACTACTCATTGCTCTGACCAGTAATGGACAAAGACTGGAGTAAAACAGAAAAAAAGAAACGCAGGTGCAAGACATGCAACTTATTTAAATTTTTACCAGATCGGCTCAAAGTAAAATGACTCGCAACATCTCATTTAAAAGATCATAATAGAATAAGCAAATAGAATAGTCCTTGAGAACAATAACAGAATATTAAGAAAGATTTAAATATACAATATATACTTTAATCGAGAGTATCAAAACTTTCATATTTGGTAGCCAGTTTGTGATCTTGGTCCTCCCAAAAATAAAAATTCTTTGTTTTCGCCAACTCTTTAAAAAAAATCCTTAACACATTAATGTAGAAATCCAAGTACTTGAACCCCATCTTTAATGAACGATTGCTCATTTAATACATGAGATAGGTAAAACTAGATATCAATAAAAAGAGAAATAAGCAGATTGTTTTATCCACTAACAAAATCTGTGTAGAGTAAGGAATAATGATGTAAACAGCTTGAACGCACTAAGCCTAGACTTAAGAAGCACTCTAATTAAAGCAGTAGCTCCAACTGTCTCACACGATGTGCGGGAGAAAATCAACACACCTTGCCTTGCTTTATCAGTCACCAAGCCTGTACTTCCCTCTATAGATATGATCTCATAGCTAAAACAATAACCTTTCAAAGGACATAACTCTCTTTGTTCAAACTTGATTGTAGCCAAGATCAATGAAACAAAATACTGGGTTTTCGCCGCCCATTCACTAGGTATGAGATTATAGAGATATAGGAGCAGCATCTACAGTTTACTCAAGAGTGTTTATAGAGGCTTACCATTCACAGATTTTCCTGTGTGATCTCTGTACAGTCATCTCAATGTCAATTGGATGGTAGCGCATGCCTCGCAGCATTATAGTCTCATCCAGGCCTCCGACAACAAAGATGGCATCATGACGTTCTGTGGACATTAGTTAAGAAAACATGTGAAGAAGAGGGCAACATTCAACACCAAACATGAACACTCAACTCTAAATAAGTTAAAACAAGATAAAGCATTAACAAATCACTACCTTAGAATTACAAAGTTTTATCCATCTGCTCAGTTTGAGCAATCTGATGTAAAAAAATTTGAGTTCCACAATATGTCAAGCTTTTTCACATGCAATTATCAGAATATCTTGATAATCACTCTGAATAATCTTAAAACAGAGCAGATAGAATATTTCATTTCTGACCTCATGGTCTTAGTAACTTAGAACAGCCAAAAATGCCAGATAGCACTTTGTATTCTATGGTAGCGAAATGTAAAATGGGATCCAAAACACAGAGGCACAATGTACTATAAATTTTTAAAAAATTGCAATGTAAAGGGACAACCCTTAAAACCAGTAATCTTGCAGCACATGCAAATCAGTTTGCATAAAAGACTAGAGAGTATTCATTGGCATAAAAGTATGGCCTGTACATCTGGAGGGAACCAACACTTCACATATATTCAACGGCAATCCGAACCTCTTGTGATCCTGCAACTTTTTTAATTCAATTATTTTACTGGAAAGAAGTAAAAGCACACATGACAGAATCCGCCATCCATTGTGAGAAATTTTTTACAAAACTGGACTGCTACTTTCAAGTCCAATCTATGAAACAAAGATATGAAAAGAAAATTTAAATGTTAATAATATTGGGAAAATAACTCATTTCAAGCTACTCAGACACAATTACAGAAACACTCCACTTCACATAAGACTTGAAACAAACTGAACCACGCAAGAGACATATAGAAACACTCCACATCACACAAGACTTGAAACAAACTGAACCACACAAGAGACATATAGAAACACTCCACATCACACAAGACTTGAAACAAACTGAACCACGCAAGAGACTCACCCCCATCCGACTGTGTGAGTTCGGTGCGTCTGATAAACCCGAGGAATCCGGTGCGAGCGTAGCTGGAGCCCACATCCCCTGTGGCCAGCTGCGAGTCAAAGTGGTCGTGGTGCAGAGATTCGTCACCGTAGATGGTGAAGTAACCATTGGCGTTGTGAGGGCTGCTCACCCAGATCTATAGACACACACACACATATAGAGCTTGGTTTGAGTAAACAAAAGCAGATCAACAAGACAAAAGTCATTCAGCACAAGTTTTTAAAAAGTTTTAGTAAGAGTTTTACAGCACTTGCAACACAATAAAGGTCATATAAGTGCCAAAGATTAGAAGCGTTACAAGAAAGTAACTAAAATAAAAAAGAAGGATGAGAGATCAGGACGTTCGATGTTTGATAGGAAAGAAGGAGCAAACCACACCAGAGCACCTCCCCGCCAAACCACCCACTTCAGTACAAGGAGGAGAGGTAGAATGACAAAAATTACAGAAGGAAAAAAAACCAAGACCTACTAGTAGTACCTTCCAACTTCTCACTGAATCGGAGCACTGTCTTATACAAGGATATACTTCAAGGTAACATTCTGCTGCTCAAGTCTATACTACAAAAAGTTGGTGGGAAACAGTGATATTTCACACAGAACTGTTTAGGACAATGTGACACTTAAAAGAAGTTATGAAGCAGACCACACCAGAACACCCATTCCATTGTGACAGACTAGGACATTAGCAAAAGAGAAGTGCTTGCCAGTCAATTCATCTAACCAAGCAGAAAAATACAAAATTCTTAACAAATTTGAATTCTCATTTCCAGATAAGTATTCTTTATCTAAAGACAAAAAGCTTATGTTAAGTACATATGTGTCACAAGGTGGTGGAATCAGGCTCTCGTAAATTTTTGGGCATATATCATCTTCAAGCTTGCCTATTTGTCTTGCTTTGGATGAAAAAAATACCATTTATCTTGAATACAAGTCAAGATGCAAATAAAGGCGGTGGGGTTCACCTGGTTTCAGAGGTAAAATAAGTGAGAAAATGGCAGCCACAGATTAGTTATTTCCTTAGCTTGAGAGTCTATGGAAACTAAAATCTGATATTTTTTGTGCATTTAATCAACGACTTTCAGTAAAATTCACAGAAATGTGTCCTTTCATGGGCATGAAAGGAGTTAAACCCCAAAAAAAAATAACGATAAAAATTCACAAACCAGCGCAAAAATGCCAGTTTTTTCACTTTGATTATTTTGACGAGGGCCTGATTTCACCACGCTGCTTCACATATATTACATTTAAAAGCCTGTCAGTGTGTATTAGCAATAGCTGTAAAAAGACAAAACTTCAAAGTAAGCAGAAATGGGCAGCATAGTTTCGACTATGAATGAAGACGAACGCACATTCAAAACAAACACCTGGTATATGCTTAAAAAATTAGATTTATGGGCAGTCATCAGTCTGCATGAAACATTTTCCACTATCTCACCTCTCCTAAATGAGAATCAGCACACTGGCCTTTGGTCTCGGGATTTGCAATGGCCACCTTCACACCGGGGAGCAACTGGAAAAGAAAGTAAAAAAACTCATCAAACATGAAGCAATCTTTAATGAAAAATGTCTGGCCACAACCTGACCACACGTGGATGACACAAAAGGTGATGACAAGACCAACAGGTCAGACATAAGACCTTCTTGCCAAACCTTTGGACTACAGATAAACATGACTACTAAATGACTAGAAAGTGAAAAAAAAAAAATTCACAAAAAAAAACCCAGCAGTACTGAAAATCAGCTTTAAAATAAGGGGCGTCTGAGCCTAATCAAATACTAACTGAATATTAACTTTTGAGAACAAAACATTCCAAGCACCAGAATGGTAAAAAAGCAAAGCATCTTACTAAATAGAGTCACGCTGCATATCCCCTTGGTGACACATGCTGCTTACACCAAAGCAGCAAACATTACTGCAACTCAGTGAAAAGCACTATCTTAGTACACAAACTTCAGTCAACATGAGATCAAAATAGTGATAAACTGAGTTTGGGAGCAACAACCTTGAGCTAGGACTAACCCAATTTTAAAATAAAATGCAGAAATCAGGTCCAAATCACAGCTGCCATAACACTCAAGTAGTCAGTTCAGAAATCCTTCCTTTTTCACAACCTCCCTTACATAGGACCTCACGGACAAGACTCACCTTCCCAGACTCCAGGACACACAGAGAGTGAGGACTTCCCTTCTCCACCAGAGTGACCCGGTCATTTCTCAGTGCCCTCATGTCCACATAAACAGTCGTGGTCTCTGGACAAGAAGCACCCTGGACAAAAGCACATACACAGTCTTTAGAAAACTGACCTCTCAATCGGGTACGGTTCATTCGTTCCCTGCATTTCAAGACCCAATGTTTCAGCATACTTTTGATGAAAACATACACCACAAAGGTCTACTTGTCTCTCTCTCCTCTTTCATCGTCTTAACAACTGTAAATATTTTTGCCTGCTCATCACTGACATACATTAGACCCCACTTTGAAAACTAGTTTATCCAAAATTTAACAGGAAACACATTAATTCAAACTTTAAAAAACTGGATTCAGAGTTTCAGCAACAAAACCTTTTTATCGCTAGCATCAGGACACAAAAACATTTTAACAGACAATCAGTGTACTCTTGTATAAAAAAGAAATAAGAAGATAGTTTCCTGCACGACAATATTTCTCTGACTTAACTGAACTACGTCCAGGAAAAATCTATAGATTTCTCATCCCTGGAGTAAGAAAATAAGGTAAACATCCATGGTGCAGTACAAAGTTAAAAATTGTGCATTTTTGTGACATACCCCGTTAAAGTAAGTTTAAATCATCTTTCACTGCTGATATCATGGCTATCCCCATGTTAACCCCAATAGGGTGGAGACCCCAGATGTGAATAGAATGTCAAAATAAATTCCAAATGGAGGGCTGAAGTAGACCTTGACTGTCGCAAAGGAGAAGAAAATATAAACCTCTCAAATTTCCAGAATTACTATCATCCTAAGGAAAGTTGAGAACCACTTACCTGTAGGCAGATGCCCACATTGACTCGACAGCCGAAACTGGTGCTGACCGCCCGAGGTGACAGTCCAAGGCTGGCAAACAGTTTGGTGAAGGAGGTGGTCAGCAAGATGCGAGGTCGCTCCTCGGCAATCACACAGCAGGCCCGCACACATGACAGGTTCACACCTTTCGTCTGGACAGAGTGATGTTTGTTTTAGTAGAGGTTTTACTGCGCTTACAACTGCATAAGGTCGTATGAGCGCCAAGGGGTGGATCTCTACAGAGAAGTCCAAATGGGGAATCGGGCTTACTCTGCTCACCTTTCTAGCTTCATCAGCACAAAGTCTGCTTCAAATATCAAGGCACCTCGGAAATAGCGCAAGAGTGACAAACATACAAAAGAAGTAGAGGAAAAGTGACGATAGTAAGGATGAGCAAAGAAAAAGCAGCAGTTCCCCTTATGTTGTTCCAGCAGTTATAAGCATGACATAGATAAATCAGTCCATTTACAACTCTACTGAGCTTAAAAACATGTTAATATCCCCCCTTTGGGAATGGCGTAAAGACAATTCAGTCCGTTGCACTGCCCCGGTGGGGGAACAGAATTAGGATATGACAAAATTACCCTGATAAACAAAAAACTTCTCAATATTTTCTGGCCACTGAAATGCAAGTAAATATCCCACATCAGAGAACAGCATTTTTGTCCCAGTTTGCCATCACAACGGGATTGCTAGCATCCAGTGCCAATCTAGTGTGTTCAAGTAGTAAAACAAACAAACAAACAAACAAACAAAACAAGAAGAAGAAAAACCCACCACAAACAAAGCACTAATCACTTGATGATCACAGTACAATAGCACAAACATCTTAATGTGCATACCTTGAGAGAGTTTGTGGAAGTCCCAAGGCCTCGGGTGCACAGTTCCATCACACCATACGAGCAGAAAGTATCCCGCACTGAGGAGAATGAAGAAGGAATAACTTCCTGTTAAGAGACTCTGTTACGTGACAGCAATAGAAAATTGTTTTGATTCTGATTAAATCTGTTAATTTGATGACACATTTTGTCATCAGTACTGAAAAGCACTGAATAGACATCCACAATACGGGCAATTTTCATTTCAAGAAAAGTTCCGACTAATGGAAGTATTGTGAAGACTGGAGTAAAGAGTAAAGATTTTGAGTAAATTCCTCACCAATTGACTAGTTACTAAGAACAGCACTGAGTGAATATTTACAACCTCAGGTGAAAGGATTACAGAAAAATCTCCTGCATTGGGCAAGATTCTTTTCTACACTTCACTGAGAATTCTGCATGCACGCCAACTACAAAAACAGTGGATTTAGAAGGGGAAAAAATTCAAACAGTAATAAACAGAAGGAAAAATAAAAACAGGAACTCGGAAAATAGTTTACTAAAACTCAGTAGTTTCAGAAAACTTCCCAAAGAAAATAAACCCGCTTTTAACCGATAGGTTGTCGATTATAGCAAGTCATAAAAACAATGATCAAATTACCAGTTTTTACCAGGAAGGGCAAGGGCAATGAAAGCACTGGGAAGTAAAAGCAACAGACCACACAAGAGTGACCACCAGTACACATCAACTTCAGTTCGGGTTGCCAATACCTGTGCTACATCTCACCACTTTAATTAGAGCAAAGAAACTGCGCATGATGGGGGAGGGTATAGACAGCCTAACATATTACATACGAAAAGAGGGATACTGACCTTTGAACTGGCTAACAGCTGTCAACCACACTGCTGGGTTAATCTCCACCTCTGACGGAGAGATGAGAATTGAGTGGTGGCCAGAGTAGATGCTGGGGAAGAGGAAATCATAACAATAAAGGTTTTACATAGCAGAAAATAACAGGTCCTTTAAATTAAACAGATAGCACTTACCTCGTCCAATTCAACTCAGCTTGAACTTTTTTTTTTTCAGTTTGTGCTATCAAGTCATAACATATGATAATGGTCATCTTCCATTAGGAAAAGGTTACGTCAATGGTGATAGGTCATAACATGCTAAAAAATAAAAAGGCAAGTCAATGATACAAACAGAGAAGAAAAGAAAGTAAGTATGAACAGAAGACGGCGATGAAAAAAATTAATGAAAAGTACAGCCTGATAAAGGTGGCAGCAAATGTCAAGAAAATGGGTTAAATTTGGACAGACGATCTATGCTCCTTCTGGATATAAAACTCAAAAGAAAGAGACCATCGAAATATCATGAGCCTGACAAGTGAGCAAAACAAATTTTTAAAAGATAAAATCACATTACAAGTGAGGCAAAAGTAGGCCTACAAGCACCAATACATTTATATTTCTATCTTTCTTTTATTAAGAGGTGTAGTTGTAAAGTGCATACAGCTTCTTGTAGAGTGGGGAATATATGCGTTATAGAAATAAAATATTTATTTGTTTATATGGCTTTCCTCTCTGCCCAACCACATAAAAAGCAAAACAGAGACGAAACACGCTCACACAGTGCTACACAAGAACATAGGTCACACACACAGTGCTACACAAGAACATAGGTCACACAGACACAGTGCTACACAAGAACACAGGTCACACACACAGTGCTACACAAGAACACAGGTCACACACACACACACAGTGCTACACAAGAACACAGGTCACACACACAGTGCTACACAAGAACACAGGTCATGCACACACACAGTGCTACACAAGAACATGGGTCATGCACAGTGTTACACAAGAATATAGGTCACACACAGTGTTACACAAGAACACAGGTCACACACACACAGTGCTACACAAGAACATAGGTCACATACACACAGTTCTACACAAGAACATAGGTCACACACAGTTCTACACAAGAACATAGGCCACACACACACACACACACACACATACACACACACACACACATACACAGTGCTACACAAGAACACAGGTCATGCACACACCTGCTCAGGCACCAGAGCACAAAACCCAGGCCACTGTAGGGGTCCAGACAGAGCGCCACATCGCGCGACGGGTACAGCTCACACTGCAGCTTCTGGGCACGGCACAGGGCAGTGGCAGAGGCATGGGACATCTGACAGGGAGAGTGGGAAGAGAAACAAGTGGCATGACGAATTGCTTTAATGCTTCAAATTCTTCAAATCTTTTGTTTAACAGGTTGAATATTTTAAACACGCCTAGAAAAGTACGGAAAGTAGAAAAACCTTTTACAAAACTCAGAAATATCATCCAGTTTAGAGGTACAGAACAAATGAAATATTTGGGGAAAATTATGCTATAGAGGCCGCTAATGAATATAAATTTTTCTAGTGTTGCTCTTCCCAGTTCCAAACACAACCTTTTTTTCCCAAAAACCAGGCCTCTAGCTTGTATCATTAATAAATGTTATTATGACATACATGCAAATAATGATCATAAAAGCAAAAAATTTAGCTTGAAAGTCCCACATCTGAGAATTCCAATAATTCTACGAATAGCAGCAGGCCTCTGTCCCTCTCATTTCTCTACTGACCTTGACCCCGGCCAGCATGCCCGTAGTCGAGACGCTAAAGTCTAGGTAGCAGATCATCTCCGGGGTGGGGGCGCGATACACCGCAGCCAGCCTCTTCTTTGGCAAGTCGTCGGTGTCCAGGAGATTGGTCCAGGTCTTAGAGTCCACAATCACAGACGCTTCCTGTGAGACAGAAAAAAGACAAGCTATTCTCTGTCTCGCCTCTTCATCTTCCGATAGAACCCTGCCACCCATCAACAGAAAAGCCGAAACATAACTCATTTGGGTAGATCTTAAAATATACTAGCTTAAAGAAAGAAGGGGCAGAAAAAAAGAAAGACGGCATTTAATCTGATATTCAATTTACAACAAAACAGAATACACTCAAGAAGAAAACATATAACATACTGGTGTTCACTATAGTCAGTGTTATATTTATTTTTTAAGAAAATATGTTATATACTGTCGCTTACTACTGTCTGTCTCACTTTGCACTTTTCTCAAGTTTCAAGAACTTTTGACATCACAAGTATTTCAACGTTGGGATTATTTTCTACACTTAACTGTGAATTCTACCTGCATGCCAACTACAAAAGCAGTGGATTTAGAAAAGAAATTCCACACATTGATAAACAAAGTGGACTTCAATTACAACCACATAAATAATTCTGACACACACGTGGACACAGACAAACACTCACACACTTTCCTATCCTGAGAAAAGAAAGTGTGAAGCTCTCACCTTTGACTTGAGCAGCTTGATGGTGGCACTGTTAGTGAGGATGGCCACAGACTTGCTGACCTCCACAATCATCCGCACAGTGGGCAGTGTGGAGGACACATTCTGGGGGTGCGGGGGTCGAATCGTCACTGGGACACAGCCTGTGCAATGACACAAGTACAAAACTATTAGTAACAGGGAGGTTGTGTGAAAGTATACACAAATAATTGGCAATTGACAAATATCAACCGAGCTAGCTTTGATGAGCACTTCAGCAGGTACAGAAATGCACATTTCTTCTGCTTATCATACCCAAAAAACATTACAAATTAAAACAACAGCATATTCATTTGTATTTCAAAATGAACGAACTCTTTGATATCAATTTTTCCAGAAAAACAAAATACATCACTTTGTGATTACTCCTCTACAGCTAAAAACACTTGCTTTCAACCTGATACCTTTAGTACGGTTTCAGCTTTCCCCATAAAAGTCAAAACAACATTTTTTTAAGACACAAATATTCAACTATTGCTATTGGTATTTTCAATCCTGACGGGAACCGCAAACAATAGTTATACATAGTTAAGTAGGCAAACCATAGACTAAAGAATACACCATTCTAAAAAAAAGGTCAAAACAAAAATACCAAAACACTGCAAATACCAATCAGATTGCTAAATCCACCTTTTTTAAATTAAAAAGTGGAAGTCGACTTACCAACATATAAACAGCCATAAAACGCTGAAACGAGCTCCACACCTGGAAAAGAAAAAGGCATCCCCGTTATCAAAAGTATAGAAAAATAGCTATCTTTATTTGATGTAAATTAATCAAGTGAATGCATACATCTACAGACATGCTTCCATTCCCCTGTGAATTCATTTCTGAGAATATCAAGGCAGAACAAGAGAAGGGTGAAGGAACAAAAAGACAAAGGACAACTGTCATATGTCACTGACATCAGTCTTATAGCTGATAACAGCGCACCGTTTGTCTCAAAAACTTGAATAACACTAAGGGTTTGAGTAATGAAAATAATCAAATAATAATTCAAGGATAGAACAAGATTTTTAAAAGTGAAGTAGAATAGAAACATAAGACTCCAGGGGATTTTTTGTAATAATATGGCATTACGACCACTCACCTGGATGAAAAACCAGAGCCACATGGTCCCCTGTATTCAACTTTCCTTTCTCCATTAGTAAACAGCCGATTTTCTCTGCACGCTTGTGGAGCTGTGAGCAACTGTACGTGGCAGATGGTTGATTCTAATGGTGAGAGACGGAAATATCACCATAAGACGTTTGAAAGAAGCCTTTTCTCTTCGTTACAATTTCAAAACACGAGCAGTTCAAACGCCACAGCATTAGATGCACCATTCAGAAATTAGTCTAAGAAAGAGCTAAAAAAGTCAAGTGCCAATAAGAAAGGCAAACAATGCTTCTTCATCAATTCTGGAAAAAAATAAGCAGCATTAACTATTTTCTGTTTTGGCCAACAAGGCTATCACTATCAGGTGTTTTTCTCTCCTATCATAAATTAAATCCAAACTTTCAAGTACTTTTTGAGGGAGGGGGTATTTCAAAACTTAAGAACTTGCATTCACTGTCGTTGACTTCACTGAACGTTCCTTTGCAGTCGATGAGTGAAGTTATCATGAAATTTATTTCATATCAGTTTTTGGCAAAACCAGGTGCCCTTCCCCATGCGCATCGGTATTCCTCCCCACATGGTATTGCTAAAAACTAGGAAGAAATTCCCTTATGCTTATGAAAATTATCAGAGGGAATAATGGTGCTAAAATGAGACCCTGCCTCAATTAAGAGACAACAAAAATTAAAAAAAGATTTTTTCTGTACTCACTCTAGAATTGAGCATTGTGTACAAAACATGGTCTGGTGTAGTCAAGGCGCGCCAGCGCAGAATCTCTGTGAGGAACTGGTGCTGGAAAGAACAAATAAATTTTATTACCAGGTATGGGAAAACAACTTCCTTCTTTAACGGAATGAACAAATAAACTTCTTCAGTGTAAACTACTGGGTTTTTTTTTAACTTTACAGAGAATAACCATGCTACATATCCAAGCCAGCACATAACAAATAAAAATAATTTTAAAATCCATATCTTTGCCAGTAACAGAACTGATGACTTAAAAAAAAAAAATGACTCTAATGGATTGTGCAGAGTGAAAAAGGAAATGTATAGACTTAACTTAAAAACAAATAAACACACATCATGGTCACTGCATTGCACCTAATAACAATGCATTTCATGAGAATGGGCAGCTGTGCTTCAGTTCATTATAATATACACAATTCAACCCAATTGCAAATGTCTGTAAATCCCTTGATATTTTCCTCAAGATGCTCACCTTCCTGGATGTGTCCGCATCTTCCTCCGAAATACCAAGGTCCCGACCTTGGGCCCAAGCCATACGAGCTCCCTGGACAATGTTGCCAACATGGACAGCTGATGGTTTCACGTCTATTGAATAAAAAAAAAAGTTGACAAAGATTATTGTTGTTAGGAACTACGGTCTGGGAAATATATTTCTCAATAAAAAATCTGTTCACCTTTTAGAATATACTAATTTTGCTGGACAAATACATAACAAAATGGTACTTTGATAACATAAATATACCTTATCAGATGGGACACATTCAACAAAATTAAGAATACCATTACATAATAATTTATATTAGAGGTTAAAAAAGGACAGGAGTGAACCTGTCTGGAGGAACAGTCCCATTATCATATGAACATAAGGTCTTAATGATTTCAAACAAAAAAGGAAACAAAAGAATAAAAGGAGGCTCATTTATTGTAGCCGATCATTCTATTACATTACTGTAAAAGGCAAATTCAAAATTTTAATTAATTAAGTTATAAACTAAATTTATGCTGAGATACAGGAGATGTAAATTTTTTTTAAAACAAGAGAAACTCAGAACAAGAGTCCTGTAACCAGTTTTTTCACTATGACCATTTGAGAAATGAACATTATTCAAACACTGAAGGAAATGAAAAAACTTCTCACAAAAAAACCAAAAAAATTTAACCAAATTTAAATAATTGGACATCCTCCTGAAAAGACTGCAGTCTTAGCATTGAGCAAATGATCACAACTCTATATGGAATAAAATACTTGTTTTAAGTTTAGCACCAGCAAACCCAGCATAAAAACTAAAGAAAACAATATCCATCACCACAAAAAAAAGAGATTAGTTTTTCAAAATGTACAGAAAGGAGAAATCGGACTAATAGCATACTAAATGTCCGCATGCCTATTTAACACAAACAACGACCTAGAGCTCAGGACCTAGATCACCAAAAACTGCTTTCAACCCCAACTGCAGTCCCCACTGACAACAGCCTTGGTGTCACTTCTTTATAAATCTATACTCTAAGAATCCACTTAATTGATCCCTTGGGAAAGTTGCTTTACAATGGTTTACATAAAATTAAAAAATTAATACTTCTATGCTTGAACAATACACAACATCACAAACACCCACAAAACACACATCATTGCTGGCTGTCACTGTGCAGCACCCTGTTTTTGTACTAGGGTTATCCTGTATTGCTCAAGAACACACCCCAATAAACCCCCTCCCCCCCCTCCTCCTAAACGCTGTGTCACTGAAAAACACTTGCATTTACCAGCACAGCTTGGAATCAAACTGAAGAGCAGACCCTTACATTTTTTTAAGTGGAATCGGAAAGCAATGGATGGTAATGGTTTAATTCCATAGTATTTCATAACTATACATAGCAATAGAAACCTACAATTTCTTAAACTCTTATTATAGAGAACAAATAAAAATATGACTCAGTCATGCTCTTAGAATTAATGAATGCTAACTTTGTTTCAATTTTGAGGGCTGAGGAGAGTGTGGATTGTTCTAAAATGTGAGGCAAAGGTCAGTGCCATCAGAATTACATATTATGTGAGGCATCATGGTGAAGTTAGGCATTCGTCAAATTAATAAAATTGAAAAAAAAATAACCTATCATTTTTCTGCCAGTTCCGACTATTCTTATATAATCTTTTATGTCCATTTAAAAACACATTTCTGTGTGAATTTTACAGAAAAATTTTTGAAGGCACAAAATTTTTGGTTTCCAAGGACTCTCAAGCTTTGAAAGTCACCAAACTTTGGCGGCCATTTTCTCACTAATTTTACTTCTGAAACCAGACGACACGACCCATACCTCTTTCAATTGCAAATATCTCGATTTCTTTTCAAGGTAGATGGGTATTTCATAGAAAACAGAACTAATAAATTAGCTTTAATACTATTTCAATAACTCCACATGCCCTAAAATTGACAAACACCTGATTCCACTACTTCATGACACATATATATAGAAGATAACATGCAGACATTCCCCATGCAGAAAAGCTTCCACAACCACCAGAGTATATAGGGCCCAGTATATTGTGCATGGAACGAAAAAATCTTTGACTTGCCCCACTGACCTGGATGAACCTCTCTCGGCTTGGGCATGTTCGTGACACAGGTGTGAGGGCACATGAGCACATTGGCTGGGTGCAGAGAGCCCTCAAGGAACTTCTTCTTTGTATCGTGAAGGTGGATGCCTCCCAGTGGAGTCTGAAAGTATTAAGAATAAGGACAAATTAGATTTGCTTCTGTGTGACGTAATAAAAAACTTGGAAGAGAGAGGGAGGGAAACAAAAAATTAATTTACATTTAACCAATAGAATAAAAAATCTTTGAAAGCACACACACACACACACAGAGAGAGAGAGAGAGAGAGAGAGAGAGAGAGAGAGAGAGAGAGAGGGAGGGAGGGAGAGAGAGAGAAAGAGAGAGAGAGAGAGAGAGAGAGAGAGATGTTTTGCTTTAGTTGAGGTTTCACAGCACTCGCAACTGCATAATGTCATATGAGCGCCAGAAGATTAGAGGTGCTGCAAGAGAGTAACAAACATAAAAAAGAAGAAGGGGAGACACAGACGATATTTGATCGGAAAGAAGAAGCAAACCACAATAAAGACATATCCTCAGAAGAAGTTAAGCAGCGCCGTAGCAGTGCAAAATCACCCCTTCAAACTCCCATACGCTAACAACAGGAGAAACTGAAAAAGGATGACAACCAGACCTGTCACTCTATGGAACCTCAAAATCAGGATCTCAGGGAGAAAAAAATCGCGATTTGGTGAAAAAAATCGGGATATCCCGACTAAATCGGGATGAGTGGCAGGTCTGACGACAACACTTTTTTCCCTTAGTGCTCACACATGACAAGTGCAGATTTCTCACCTTTGGCAAGTAGTTGGGTGGCACCAGAGCCAGGCAGAAAACCCCAACCTGGTGTATGCTGTCCACAGCTTGGAGCACTCGGCTCATCCACTGGAAACTCTGAGAGAGAAAAAAGCAGAGAAAAACTTATAAAAGATCGAAGGGAAAAAAGGGCAAAAAAAGGGGGTGGGGTTGCAATGGTAGCAAACATAACTTTAAAAATGTTTTAAACATAACAGAAAGCACCCCTCTACCATTTTGCTGGTTACGACTACAACATTGTATTTGGCCACTGACAGGGTGAATAATATTCATGAATGTATAAGGCTCTCACTATTCCGAATGCTAAAAACAATATGCACTGTGCAAAAAGGGGCTCCATAATGTCTTTCATAAGAACAAACAAATAATGTGCAAGAGACGTCACATCCTTAAGACCATATAAACTACCAAAAAAACATGAAAATCATTATCCAACTACACTTTTCCCGCATAATTTAGGCAACAGGCTAAATAAAGACCACCGACAAATAAGTAGATAAGTAGAACTTCAGTAACCTCTTCTTCTGTGCAATCTGGCCGTTGCTCAGCTATTATGACAATCCTCTCATCTTTCAAAACTCTGATGGAGAAAACAGCAATTCTGCGAAGAAGAAAATAAAAACACGTCAGTCAAAATCTACAATATATATCCTTTCATCAAGTTGTAGCAACTCCAAGCTTCCATTATTTCCTCCTGAGCAAGTTCATCAGCTCTAATGGTGGCAACCATTTTCTGACCTGTTCAATACCCTCATTATTCCTAGATATGGTCCTGAGTATGCAATAAAAACACATACCACCCAACAACACTGGACTGGAAGTGCAAAGAGAAGAGTTTACAGAGATTTATTGAACAGAACTTGAAAACTGAATCATAAACACGTTCCAACCATGCTATCAGGAATCCAGCTATATGCAACAGTAAATAAAAGATTTCCCTAACTATATCTATGTTCCAATGCTACAATGTGAAATTTCACAGAGTTCAATAAAGGAACATTGCCTCTCTGAAAAAATATAATCTGCAGCAAGATTGCCAAAAATATTAAAGGAACAGAAAATTGTGGTCAGTCAACTCAATAAACATGACCACATTTTAAAAGGAACAGTTAATAGATGCTGGGTCCGAAAAGTGAATTTTAAAAATCAGGAACAGGAAGCAGTATCCCTGAAAAGAAGCAAAAAGAGTAGACAAGACCCTCCTGCCCACAAACCACCTGCAAACAGAGAGGGACGAGACAGAAATGAGCGTGACCCACCTGCCCCTGTAGATAAACTTCATGGGCTCCACAGCCAACACTGTGGCAATGATGTCGTCAGTGTTGTGCTTCCGTCCTGACACCTGCATCAGACCCTCCTTGCTGCCACACACAAACACCAGACCACCCTGTACAGACAGACATTTCATCACATGACCGAATGTGTCAGACCGTGCAGACAGTTAGAATCCCACACACCCAAAAACAAACTTGATGGCATAACTATTTTCTGCGTCACTCCACAAAGATGTGAACAATGTTATTTTTCTTTATTTTTGTTTTATTAAGAATTTAACAGCATTTGCAACACAATTAGGTCAAATAAATGCAGAAGATTAGGTGTTACAGGAGAGTAACAAAACAAAAAAAGGAGGAGAGATAAGGACGACAGATGTTTGATAGGAAGGAAGGAGCAAACCACACCAGAGCTCCCGCCACCCACTCAAAAACATATAAGTAAATATACTAAGCAAACCAAACCTGAGCACCCACCGACTACCAACCTGTAAAAATATTTGCGGAATTCAAGATTTTTCATCACTGGAAACAAAGGTTTCACAAAAACCAACCCAACCTCAGACATGTGTGCAGAGACATGTTCACATTAAGATGTCTGTCTGTCTGGTACAAGTAACACTTGTGTTGGAAAAACTGCACCCACTTTCGAAAATGGAATTCAGTGTTTATACCAACTAGCACAGATTTTCTCACAATTCAAAATTAAGTCTTCTTTGCGTTTTTTCCAGTAAAATACATGGACTGCTTGTTACAATAAAGAACATTCAATGTATAATTGTGTTGGTTTGTTTTGTTTTTTTGTGGAAGTCATTCGATGTTTATCAAACTGCTTTCCACTCTATGACATGACAACTACCCCTCTTTTCACCAATTCAGACAGAACAAAAATAACCTTCCAATTCCACCTGAATACAAATGCAAACCATTGATCTACCAAAAATGACTACAACAAATCACAATGAAAGAACAAGCACACACTGACCGGTCCAAGGAATCCTATCAAGCCTGTCCTCACATAGGTCCTGTCTGTCTGAACAGTTCCATCCTCTTGCACCGGTTGGACCTGAAGAGGATAAATAATTTTGTTTTAAGCAGGAAATCGAATGCAACATCCACTAATGAATATCAATAAGGAACAAAAATAAAATCCTCTTAAAAAAGGAAAACTAGGGTTTAATACGCCTATCATGTCACTCAAAAGTAACCTCTATACATTATGTCAACTCACAGTGAATAAACAAATATGGTAAACTCATGGACATTCTTTTGTGGGAAGGATGGTTTCCATCAATGTATCTGTGAAATAAACCATTTGCTGGGTTCACAACGAAAAGTGATAAACCCATAAGAAACAAGAGGAAAAGGAACATAGAAGTCTGACAAATGAGAATCTCACCTGGAAGGTGGCTTGAGTGATGCCTTGTAGACCCCAGTAGCTGGAGCCTGTGTAGCCAGCACTGACGCACAGCTCACCCACTTCATCAGCCTTGCACAGCTGGGGCGGACCCTCAAGCTTGATCACTACCATAGTGGCTGCAGATGCAAAGTACACAGATGAGAATTTTGTTTTTACTAATTAAATATCAAAGAATGTGAGTAACCTCCCACAAAACTGTAAGAAAATTGCAAACAAATAAAACTGCATTCGCATGATGCATCACAGCATTCAACAAATGCAACAAGTGTATGTTTAATGTAACTAAGATACCGTTGACATGAAAAGAAAAGAGACAGCCTATGCTACTTAGCAGGAGTATAGTATGGTACACACTGAACAGCAAACACATCCCATCAGTACACAAGGACCGAACTACATGCTTTTTTTTTTTTTGCAACCTTCATTTTAATGTTTTTATGTTACAAATTCGAAATTCAACTCTTCAATAAACAACACACTTTATGGTAAAACAGAATACTGCTGCTTCAGTATAGACGTAAACTCTCATGAAACTTGCTCTTCAGAAAAAAAAATCTACACACACAAAAACACTATAAGAAATTTCTTTTGAAAACATGTTTTATCAGTTAGAATTCTGTTAACTTAGTCTTAATACTGTTAGTACATATTTTTCAAAGGCAGTTGCTAAAATGAAGAATATCATAACCTGACAAAGAAGATAAGAAGTTAACCCTGTACCTAACCATTGTCATGCATCACAAATACAAACCGTCACAAACAAACAGTGGCCTCCTTACCTCCAGGCATGACCTGACCACAGTCCTGTAGTGTGAGGGAGGTCAGACTGTTTTCACTGTCGACACGCACCACACCAAAACTCAGACCCTGCATAGATAGGATGCCTCGGCCAGTGGCACTGGAGCTTGTCCGGCCAGGCCTGAGAAGGGAAATACAAAAACAATCTGAGAGGAAAGGAAGCACATCAGCACTGTACAATAACAGTCATCAAAGGCTGAGAAAAAGCACAACAGACATACAGAAAGGTGAAAACCTGACAGCCACACCTTGAAAACACATGATATACAAAAACTAAATTATTTCAGTCAAAGTAGAAGATTTGCAAGACTCAGATAGACTAAGTCAAATAATAACACAAAATTCTGAAAAATATGTTGTCACTGAGATATTCTAAAAGCTATTTAAACAGGTTGTGATAAAAAGACACACAAAGAGAAAAAGAGCAGAAAGTGTTTAAATGATCTGGGCCATAAGTTTATGATACAATGAAATGTGGTTTTGAACACTGAATGGCATCCCATACAATATTACAAAAGATAACCTGTGAACATTGAGAACTAAGAAAAAAACTTGACCTTGTTAAATACCCACCTTCTGATGGAGACAGTAAGAGCTTCTGAAGAGCTTGCACAAGGACATATAGCCTCAGGCCTAAGGCCTTTGCTCTGGAAAGCACTTAGGAATGAATCACAAGATGTGAGAGACCCTGGAATAAAAAAGAAATAGTACATAACAATTAACAAAAATTGTAAACAGACAGATTTCATTACACAACATGCGAACTGCACTGTAAATATACTTACAAAATACCTTACTTAGGTTTCCAATTCTCAGAAATTTTAAGTAATTCTGAATATTTCCAAATGTAGAGGAAATCTGTGATCTAGAGCTTACATAACACAAACACACTTTTTTAATGCATCATCATAGATGGTCAAATTAATATGCATACTTTACACAAATACATGTCTTTAAGCGACCACTGGTCACAGAAAAAATCCCTAGGATACTCACAAGGATTAGCACCGTCAGCAATGAGCAACAAGCGTAGCGAGCTGAAGTTGATGTCCTTGTGGTCCTTCTGTGCCAGCAGTCCCCAGTGCATGTCCCGAGACTTGACCACAGCCACCGTCGCTGAGGGACAGAAACAATAAGTCTGGCTGGGAGGGGAGCAGGTGTCGGAACCAGACAACAAAGCAAGATGCGGATCTATAACTTCTTTTTATTTTAAAACAGAACAAACAAGTCTTGCCAAGAGGGGAAAAAAAAATCTAAAACAGCCTCTTAAACAAACATCTAAAGTAGTCTCTTCTGACCATGAAAACAGACCAAGATGAACCAAGAAGGGAACAATTATAATTATGGGAAGGTGAAAGCAAAATTATCCCCCCAAATACTCTTTTTACTATAAACTTTCATATGTTCACTTTTACAGTGCTAAGAAAAAATCTTTAGCTCTCTAAACTCCAGTAATCATTTTCCCAAATAATCTCAAACACACTATGAGGGGGAAGGAATCCACAATCTGACTCTCCCTCCTGCTTAATATCTCTCAAGCACACTAAAAAACACAGTGAGGCAAAAATACAACTGTGTAAAAATTCTCACAGTACCTTTGTATTTGGTGACCATTTTCATCCAGGACGCTGGGTCCACCTTCATGAGCGAGTAAGGAATAAATATCACGTGCATCCCATTGAAAACACTCTGTGGAGAGAGAGGAACATACAGTAATTTTTATAGCAAAACAAGACCTGAATCATTAAATTTACTTTGTCTCTCTTAACACAAAGAAGCATGAATTCTCTATCACAGTAATCTTCCAGGTTTTTTTAAATACAGCGTGATGATATGAGTTGATAATACAAAGCATGATTTTAATAGAACGACACTCATGCGTTAATTTAAACTGCATCAAAGACTTTGCTTTTAATAACTTTACTACGATAACTATGGCATGTGACTGGAAACTTGAAGAAAAACAAAAAATATCAGGTTACTGGAAATTATGGTGACTGCAGCCTATCTAATAAATGACAAAAATGTTGCAGATCATATTCATTGCAATTCATGAATCAGAGCTGTTATGACAAGTGAAAGCGATCAACTGTACTTACACATAAAATACCATGCCACATCCCAACTTCTCTTTTGAAGTCCAAAACACAGACCATCACTTCACCTGTGGATACAAAATTCTAGATGTTGACACCAATCAAATTTATTGGTCACCACTTCCACAATGCAACAAGAAAAGTAAGCAACGGCTTTTCAGCTCTATGGGGATCAAAAACACTTTTTTTTTCTCTTCCTCACTTGTAAAAAGAGAACTAGTTCTCTTCACTGCTGTAAAACCCCGCTTGTAAAAGGCACTTTTTAAAAACTTGCTGCAGCCATAATTCCTAACTGAAATAAAGAAAGATAACCCTTCTGCATGACAAAACTTTTCAGTGTGGCCTGCCTAAAACAGTGACAAATTAATACTAATTAAGCAATTTTCGGTAAACAAAACTTGCTACCTAGGAAAAGAGGTGTACGCCCCCTTTTTATAGTCTAACAATCACCCTAGACTAAAGACCCTATTTGATTGCTGCAAAACTCTTTTTTTTTTAATTGATATGATGACGATAAATTCAAATAAACCAATCCAACAAAATGAGCACAAACATTTTCAAATGATAACTACTCATTTTCAACAGTGCCTGTCAACCAGCTCAGCAGAGTTCAAACACCAAAGATGACGGACCCCGAGACTTACCCTCCGTGTAGTTAGCAGCCACTGTTAGTGTGCGGCAATGACACAGCATCGTATTTCTCGTTATCGTCACCCCGACTGTGCTGCCATCTTTGTTGAGTGCGTACTGCTTAGGACAAATGTAGAAGAGGGATGCCTATGAAATCTCGCTTCCACATAAGGGAACCAAAGGACATGCTATTCTGCTCAGAAACTTATATGTCAATTGTAAAAAGAAATTGACAGATACTAAACGCCCGTACAAGACATTAGTCAATACAAAATAGACTAACTGGTTAAAACAGAAGAATCTTTGGAAACCACTTTTTAAAATTATTTTATTTGAACTAAACATCATTAATTGTCATCAAGATGGATGAAGAAAATACAGGAGCAAAATTAACACAGCTACCCACATGCACAAGGTAGTAATAACAGAAGTGAAGATGTTACAGATGTAAAATTTTAAAATACTATGAAAATGTTATCAAGATCAACAATCTTACTCAAAATTATCTCTCAAACAATTCATTATAAACTGATATTCAGCAATATGAGCACTGTACAATAGGACACAAAACAGTCTATAGACACTTATAGAAAATCCTCGCTGATTTTCTTCACAAATAAGGCAAAAGTCTGTGCTGAAGACTTCATTGACCAGACACCAATATATTATTAAAAATACAGAACTCAAACTTCTCATACCTCTACATAAGCTGGCACGTCATCATTTGCTCTCAGGGGAGGTTGCCAGTCCTTTGACGGTTTGCTCAAGTTTTCAGTGATGAACCAGTTAAGCCTTGGCCAACCTATGCACATCAAAATCAACAATCAATGAATTGACATTATGGGCAATATTCCACAAACGACCACAAACTTTGGTCAATCAATTTAATAACACAAACAGCTATTTAAAAAAACAATTCACATATAACTGTAACCATTCTATGTGGTAACTTAAAGCTGCTCTCAGAGTACACAAGATACAAATCTAACGACCTGCATCAAGCAAACTTGTTTTGTTAATGAAGCAAACTCCAGATAACAGAGTACAAATTACCTTTGAAAGTGACGACTTCCCCGTTTGAAGACTTAGGCAGTCCTTTGTAGCAGTTCTCCGAGGTGAGGGCCCAGCACACATTAAGACTGCCAAGTAAAAAACCCACCCCTTGTCCTCCAGCATCCTGAAAAACACCCAAAAAATCCATCAAATGATATGGCAAATGTTCAATGCTGGCACATTTCAATGTTCTGACAAGTAAAAACAAATGTCCTGAGAAAGAGCAATGAAGCAAATCTTATCTTGTCTGAATACATAAACAGATGCTCAAAGAATAGGAAGAAAATTCTTTAAAGTTTATTCTTTTTCACCCGAAGTATACACACCTAGAATGAAGGGTCAACAAAGGTGGACGAAATGTTTAAAAGACATACAACTATACAATTAAAGAAAAGCAATGAAAGTGGAAGATCAGAAAAAGTGAAGACACAGAAACCCTACAAGTCAACATTTAAAAAAAAAAAAAAAACACAACTTCAAGAACACAAAATTTAAAATATTAAAAAAAGACATCATTTTGATAATCGCAAAACCTAGCTAACAAACGAAAGCAAAAACATAGACCCAAATTGAGAAAATATCATCACCAAACTAAAGCACACAACATAAATGTAAGTCCTCTTACGTTGGATCCCCCGACTCTCTTAGAGAGCGGCACCTCCACTGGCACAGGCACCACGCCAGCCGTGATGCAGCCATAGAAGGCGCAAATGAAGGAGATGGGGTCATTGTTGGGGTACACCAGAGCAACCTGAGAACAAATACAACCACAGAAAACAATTTATTGAAAAAGACCACAAAAAACAGACAAGTTCCATACACACACCCAAAAAAAATATGTTTGAGTAAATCCATCTTGTGCATATCAATTACCGCTTTAAGTTTTAGTAAGAGTTTTACGGCACTTGCAACACAATAAGGTCATATAAGTGCTGAAGAACAGAGGTGTTACAAGAGAGTAACATACACAAAAAAGAAGGAGGAGAGATAAGGACAATAGATATTTGATAGGAAAGGAGGAGCAAACTACACCAGAGCACCCCCCAACCACCCACATCAATTACCGTGAAGAGGACAAAGTTAAGTATGTGTTCGTCTTTACAAATACTACAAGATGCATAATGTATTCACATCCATTAAATAAGCACAAATGCACACAACATATAAGCCCCTTCATATATCTCTGTTTACTTAACAGTCTGATCACATGCATATAAAGTCTAAAAAGATTAAGAAACCCTTCCATAAGATGCAAGCTCACAGCTGGACCCAATTTTCAACATTGATGAAGATGAATGCGGACCATTTGCTGCCACTCAACATGCTAATGGCCACATTTGCATAAGAATAGATAAGAATGATACTGATACTGAAAAGAAGAAAGAAGAGCCAGCTACACAACACTGTCCTTCATTCACCTTCATTAAAACCACTAATACATGTAAATGAGAGGTAACAGATGGGTGGAGAAGTAACACTGAAAATGTTAACAGGTACAAACCACACCAATACCCTCCCACTCCCAACATGACAAAGGATAGAGGAGGCGACAGAAACCTTTAACGACCAGCATTCACTGTCTTCTGCTGTTACCATAATGCAACTATGCAAAACAACCATCACACTTCGCAATCAATTAAATAATCAAACATTAACACATAGATCTAGTCTTTGTTAGTCCTATTCTCTAACGATTCCATTTTAATGCTGAAATACTGTACCCTTTGTACCTACTCACTCACATTCTTATGGTCAATGATTGTCTGTTAATACGCATAAAATCACAAACATGGCACCTAAAAGGAAGAGAGAGGGAGAGGGAGAGGGAGAGGGAGAGGGAGAGGGAGAGGGAGAGAGAGAGAGAGAGAGAGAGAGAGAGAGAGAGAGAGAGAGAGAGAGAGAGAAAGGAACCATCATATTTCATGTGGAACAGATGACAGTAGCAAGACCAATAAAAGATTGAAAGAGCAGACCCTGAGAGAGCACCTAGCAACCATCCCCGTGGCTATTTGAAATTATGAGCAGAAGTTCTCAACACACAGAATTAAAGGTAACCAACCACTTTGAATGGAGCTTTCAAACCTTTATTTCAAGACAGTATTTCACTACCAGAACAACACAGCCGAATGGGCTAGAAGACAATGATGACAACACATGACAAGAGAAACAAACAACAACAGATTCACGTTACAGCAACTTGAACATACAAAAGAGTAAACACCCAACTTCCAAAACTTGGTAAGGAACACAAACTAAAGAAACTGAGGACTACCTTGTGCACAGTTTTAGTTTAGTTTTAGTAGAGGTTTTACAGAGCTCGCAACTGCATAAGGTCCTATGAGCACCAGAAGATTAGACGTGTTACAAGACAATAACAAACACGAAAAAGAAGGAGGGGAGATAAAGACGATAGATGTTTGATAGGAAAGAAGAAACAAACCACACCAGAGCACCCGCCAACCACCCACGAGCACAGTTTAAGAGAAACAAACTTACTCGGTCACCCTGTCTGATGGGCTCTCCTTTCTGGCCAACCTTGCACAGCAAACTGTACGCAATTTTCTGCGTGCGACTGAGCAGTTTGCCATACGTGAGGTTGTACGATGGCTTCCCGTTGGCATCTAGGACAGTGATGGCATTAGCCTTGTATGTTGACGACCCATACCGTTGGAGAGCTGCCTCAAGGTTGCGTGGCAAGCCAGACGGAACCTGAAGGAGAACAAACAAACACTGGTACACCAAACCATTTTGGAACATAACAATCTAAAGTGAAAAACTTTCAGCTCTATGTATCCGTTAACATGGGGCACACAAAAGAAATTTCAGAAGATATAAAAACCATTTTCTAAGTTGAGTAGCTTTCCACCATCCCAACAAACTTTTTTCATGCACTTTGAACTTAAAAATAATGCTTGTTACCAGTCAGGAAATTTCATTGATAATATTAGCACGATAATATAAGCACACACTATCAGTGGAAAACTGGATTCTTTTTTTTTTTTACAATAGAAGAACCCATATGTCTAATTCAAAAACCTTTTCATCAACGAGCACTCACCACTAGAGGGTCTCCAGGTTGGGGTATGAGCTCTTTCCCCTCTGGCTTGGGAGCGTTGGGATCTGACACTGGTGCTAGAGACAAACAATACCGAGGGTTGACCACATAAAGAGCATACAATAAGTGCCCAACATTATCACATAACAGAAGATGTAAATGCTTCAACCTATCTGGAAAAAAACTACTAACAACAACATACTTTTTAAAAAATCATTTACATTCTCTTCTCATACATACATTTGTATTTTCTTAAGAAATATCGACTGGGTAAAACCATTTGCATGCATTACAGCAAGGCTTCTTCTACTGCTTTATGAAAACTGAACAAAACAGAAACAGGATCGAACCATCTTGTCCTTAAAAGCGACCAATTACTGCATTCACTTAAAACATTTAAAAGTTGACGTATTTTCCTCAACACCACACTCTAACGTACGCCTAAGAAACACGAGTCTAGAGACAAGAATAAGTCATTTTCGAGACTCATGTGGAGTATGTGAAAACGTCTAATCAGCCAGGGGGAAAAATCTACAAGCTTACACAGAAATATGGGGGCACGGTGGTGTCGCTGTCCCAAAATGAGCAATTTGGGGGCAAGGTTACTGTACGTCATTTATTTTAATAATCCTGTGTATGCCTTCAAAGAGCAGTTTTTAATATAGGGCCCAAAGAGAAAAACTTTTTTATTAATGGATCAAGATTTTTTTTAAATTTGTGTTAGGTCACTGACCTGTAGAAGTGCCATGTAAAGTTTCGGGGGCATATGTAAATTCGTAAATGAGCTAGAATTTTTTAATGAAGTCAGACGAAAGTAAACAAGCTATAATTGAACTCATAAATTCAATGCACAATTATAATAAACAAGAACGGTAGAACTTACTTTCAAGTGTAGCCTCCTCCTCATCCACAAAATATTCTCTTAATGGCTTTCGCTTGGGTCTCTGAAATAATTGTAACAGATCACCATTATTTACGGAGACTTCATAGCTTTGTTTGACAACAGAAATCATAATCTTTCTTCACACACAGTGAATTATGCTATAAATAGCCATGTTCCTTATATTGAGGAAAATTGAAAACAGCGAAAGAAAACTATAACTATTCATTCAATGTGTAGGATTTACAGTCCATATTTTCATAAGTGCGGAAGAAGAAAACAATTGAGCTGAATAAGATAGTTTTTCCATTAAGATCAGAAATAACAGCAATTGTGTAAAATAGATTACTTATTTTAACTTAACTATTACAAAGGAAATAAGAAACTTATTTAAAGAACGGATTGACACTTACTTTTAATGTGTTCAATAGTTGTTGTATTTTGGCAGACACTTTACCGTGTGCAGGAGCTGAAAAAAATGCCCCAAAAATGGTCATGTTGAAAAGACAAGTTTTATTGTGTCAGATTGAACCCATCAACACACATACAAAAGAAATAACAACATCATTTCCATAGAAGTCCCCAACTCATTCATAAAGTGAATAGAGAATAATTTATTCTAACATTTCAAACAATTATAAATAAATTTGACTCTTTGTCGATAAAATGGTGAGCTAGTCGAAGTGCTCAGCAATTTCAAAAGTCCCTTAAAGTAATGGAAAAGAAATGAAGGCAAAACTGTTTTCTTTTTTGAAAAATATCAGTAAAGACACATGAGGCAAACTCATCAGATCTTAAGAATATTTATCAAGCACAGGAAAGACATTTTCTCCCCCCCC